TTTCGTACCGTCACATAGCCCCCTTATGCTTCCGCCGTCATCGTCGGCCACAGCCAGCACTTTCGGCTCCGAACGTGTTAATTCCGCGTCTATGGAGGATGGGTTTCGGGGTAGTGGCAGCGGGGGTGACGCCGATGGCGGGGAGGACGAGCCGAGTCCGGCGTCCGGTGGGGCTCAACTCGAACGCGGAGCAGAGCCGGGGATAATAATGCTCGGCGGTCATCGCACGCGACCTAATTGGACTCCTCAGGTTGTGTTTCGTAGCCAGCTTGACTGCAGAAATTTCCGTCATGCCGTTCTTACGTGTACTCATGTCGGTCACAAACCTGATCCATGAGGGTGAGCTGAATATATGTCATTTCTTCCCTGTTAACAGGAAGATTTAATTCTTCTACAGCACGTGGCGAAGCATGGGACCCGCAACTGGGGGTCGCTTCAGATCGGCGGTTTGCTGCCGATTCGCGATCAGAAGGCCTGCTGCAACCGATTTATCCTTCTGAAAAAGTGAGACGATTAATTTCATGTAGTGTTTGCCTTCTCGAAGTTGATGCAAGGGACCTGCGAAGTTTGGGTGAAGAGTAGAAAAGTCATTTCAGTAGTAGCTTTTGAAGTACACCCACGAATCTCTCGAGGAGTTGCGTTTATCGCGGACAACATTATCCATTTCCCAGATTTCCAACCCTCGCAGCTTATCCTTATCTTTTTGCGTGTGCTTTTGCTCTCTCTCAATCCGCGCGCTCCAGGCGTTGCATCAAGGACAAGCGCAGTCTGTCGCAGCTGTTGCAGCGCGCTAAAGACGCCGTCATTCATGACGCAGCCAGGAATGTCAACGCGGCCGCAGCTGGAGCCGCCGGTTCTTCGTTCGTTTCCGGAGCCGCGCAAGCGTCATCCTTCCACCATGCCGCTTCGGGATCGCCGCATGTCGCGGGTGGGTTCGCCGGATCGTCTTCAGCCCTTCACGCTGCTGCCGCGGCGCTCAACCCCTTGAGGTGCTGCCGGTACGCCTTTACAACGCTGGATCCTAATTTTCTTTTCGTGTCAACCGTCCCTTCCTTTCGTCGTTTTCTTATGCCGTCTTAACTACCTTCCTGCGATGAAGGCGATCGTCCGTCGTTTCCTTCTTGTGCTATTGATTGCAGAAAGATGGTATTCTTAGTCGTGATGTGCCGGCTCTCACATGGGAAAGCTATCGGCTGAACATCACTTGATAAGCATAACTGACGTTTTCCCCTGCGGCCTGTCTTGATTTTTTTTCAGGCTCTAACTTCGCCCAGCATCGGCATCAACAGCCAATCACGGGTCTCCTTCAAAGGGGGTGGCGTCTTAGCTGACATTAGCCGGCCGTTTGTTCCTTCTGTACCGTCAACGTCAGCAGCGACGTCGCTTCCCGAAAATGTCCTCCGTGCGACACTGCTGCGCTCAGCGTTGTCGTCGGCAGCAGTGGGTCCTCCAGACGCCTCCCAGCCACTGCAGCAGCAGCTGTTGCAGCAGCAGTTACTGCAGCAGCACTTGCTACAGCAGCAGCACCAACAGCAACAGCAGCAGCAGCATAGCTTTTCGCAACAGAGCGTGCAGCAGCAGTTGTTACAGCAGCAAGCAGCGCTGCGCCAGCTCGCTATGCAGCAGCAGCAGCAGCAGCGGCTGCAGGAGGCACAATCAGCTGCACTGATGCATCAGAAGCAGCTATTCTCGCAGTCCAGCTTCAACCAGGGATCCTTGCAAGGGCTGGAGGGTCGGCATGAGGCGCAGATGCAAGCGCAGATGCAAGTGCAAGTGCAGATGCAAGCACGAGTGCAAATGCAGGCAGAGACTCGACTGTCCATGTTTCAGGGCCAGGCGAGGGAACAGCAGCAGTCACAACTGCTGTCTGTGCAGCACGCTCAACAGCAGCAGCAGTCTCAACAGCAACAGCAGGCTCAACAGCAGCAGCAGGTTCAGGAGTTTCCTCAGAGTCTTCCGCTGGACGGGTTGCAACTGGATGAGGCGCAACTGGCGTGGCTGAAGCAGGCTCACATAGAGGGCCAGCGGTTCACGCTCTCTCAAGTGCACGCGAAACAAAGTGGAAGGCCAGGGGCACGGGGGAGGGCAAGCAGGAAGGGCAGCAGGGAGGGCAGCAGGGACAGCAGGGAGGGGGTAATAGTGGTGAGGAGGTGGGCAGGAGAGGAGCATGGTGCAGGTCAGCAGAGAAGCGATTGCGCGAACGATGGGAGAGGGGGCGTGGCACAGCAGGAAGTTTCGGGCCTGCCGAGTGTAGATGCACACAAACAGCAGCAGCAGCAGCAGCAGCAGAGTGCGAGCATGTCGATGCAGCTAGCCAACTTGCGGTGAGTGCATGCGCAGCTGAATTCATACGCGTTAAATTCGTTCCACCAACCCTCTCATCCCTCACATTCTCATCCTCTCCTTCCTTCCGTTGCCAGATCGCAAGTGGGGCTTCAGCCCGGGTCGTTGCTCGCCCAAGCACTCAAGCTCTCTCACCAGCCTTCCTTCGCAGCCGTCTCCAATCTCCCGCCTTCTCTAATTTCCGCTCCGTCACCGCCCCTCACTCCTCTCTGCACCCGCACCGAAGCCCCCATGCTCATCACCCCACGCAGCTACCCTGTCCTCTACGAGCACTGTAGCTGCTGCTGCCGCTGCTGCACCTGCAGTGTGCTACAGTGTCAGCTCCCAATTCATCTAGCCCTGCCTGGAGCGAGCCGGCGTTCCCACTGTGCAGTCGGGGGAGGTGACGGACCGCTTCTCCTCCTTCAGCGATACGCAGTTCGCCTCTGCTGCTGAAATCGGTGCCACCTCATCCACGGCTGCTGCTGGCATGATGGCGGCGGCTGCATCGGTTGGCCTCGATGCTGGTCGCAGTAGTGCTGTTGTTGCTGGTGGCAGCGCTTTGGTGGTAGTAGTGTTGGTGGTGGCTTGAACAGTACTTTGCCTGGGGGCAATGACAGTGGGAGGGAGGGTGGTTCGTTCACCAATGTTCTTCGGATGTCCTCAGCTGCTTTTCAGCACCAGCAACAGCAGCAGATGCTGCTGCGACAGCAGTGGAGTGGGCAAAGCGGGTGGAGGGCAAGAGAATACTGGCAGTGAATGCAGAGGCCTCCGTGCATATGTGGAGGCCAAGGGAAGACACGAGTTGGTTCCAGCAGCTGGGGCAGTCAGGAGCACTTGAGAAGCTTGCTGGAGGCATCGGTGGAGAGGGCGGGGAGGTCGGAAAAAGTCTGCAGCAGCACCGGCTGCAGGAGGGGGAGCAGGAGCAGCAGTAGCGGAAAATCAAGGGTTTGAACGTGGAGGAGGAATGCTATTGCTGGCAGAGCCTGCGACTGGCAATGCAAGGAGGCATGATGTCCAGAGAGAGCATCAGCAGGAGAAGCTTCAGTCTGACGGCATAAGGCATGACCACCCTGTGGATGCAAGCAACCCTCCTCCATTGCAGGAGCAGCAACAAGAGCAGAATGATGGGTGTGGTGGGACTCAGCAAATGGGCCAACGGGTTTCCATGCTGGGGTTGCAGCAATCTCGCAGGTCAGATGCAGTTTTGGAAGCCCTCACATCGGGGTCGCAGTCGTGGGTGGGTCAGGCTGGGCGCTGGGTGGATGAGCATCAAATGCAGTGGAGGATGCAGAAGGCAGGGGAAAATGCAGCTATGGGTGTGGGAATGGGTCAGGGCGGAGCAAGAAGCTACACATGCGGATAATCTGGCAGAGGCGGAGATTCTTCGAGCATTACATGCAGAGATGGAGGTGGGTGCTTTTATTTTTCTTTGTTCATTTGTTCCTTGTTTTGGTATATGAAAACTCCGTGTATTCACGCCACTCGGTTCTGATGTTTTGCAGTCCTTGAGCGCTCTAATGGACTCTTCATCGGCACCCGACCACTTGAGGACTCTGAGACGCCGGATTGGTTGTATGACGTGTCGTTGGATGTATGTACCATAGATTTGGTGTTGGCATTGCAATTCTTTCTTCTAAGAATTGAAAGTAGCCAATGTTGTGTACATATGCCGGAGCCCATACCTGAGTCTTGCTGCTGTAATCCAATCCCTGTGCTAGGAATTGATTTTTATGGTGATTTTAACCATTTTATAGTACGGAGTACGGTATGACCCTTCATGACTGTTCTGAACACTCGGCATTATCGCGCCTCACTGACACACGAACATCGTATTCGCGCGCTCTGTTCACTTGCTTTTGGACCGATTGCATCCTTCCAAGAGCTTCCTCGATTTCAGACCTGAATTCCTAGGGATTCCCTTGTCAGACGGTGCCAGTTGGCTGGTTTGTAGTAGTTCAATGGTGCTGCTTGTGGCATCGCTTCCGCTTGGCTTGTTGACCCTAGATTCATGGCTCCTCCCGTGACGTCTTGCCGAGAACGTTAGGTCTAGGTCTGTCGCTTACTTGGTGGAGCTGTTAGGAGCATCTTGCGAGTAACAGTAGCTGTGTTGGAGTCTATCGATAACTACGGTTAGATTGGGGGGTATGGACTTCTTTAAAAGCGGTACTGTTTCAGGACGATGAGGAGGAAGAGGCAACTCCTGAGACAGAAGAGGTTGAGGGTGACAAAAACGAAGGCGAAGGCGACAAGCCCTCAGAAGGAACTGCTGAAGAGGTGCGTAGATTCTTTCCTTGTCTCCGTTTCTTGATTTTCGATATGCTCGCACATTAAGGCTGAGACGTCGGTACTATTTAGCACCGTAGAAAAACGCATCTAGCGTTGTTGTTTTAACGATTTTCGAGTATATTTTCACGTTTCCAGGGCGAGATTGAAGAGGAGGAGGAGACAGAGGAAGAGCAGCCTTCAGCCTTGTGAGTACCCAGCTATCTTGCTTGGTCCGAGCGGGATGCTCTTACGGAAAAGCACTTAGTAGCACAGCTTTGCCGCCATTGTCGTTTTCCTTTGTGTGCAACGTTAGTTTGCCGCGTATTTGACGCCCTATGTTGCATTGACACGTGTCGTCCCCACATGCCATCCACTCATCAGCGGTACCTGGAATCTCGGCAGTCTGCTACAAACAATCGCCACCAAAGTAAGAAATTCTCTACTGCGCTTCTTTCCCCAGCTTTGTCTGACTCGAAATTCTCCTGCTTCCGTTTGCTCATCACGCCGTTTGGCCTTTGCTTACCTGAGGGAGATTCTTCTGCATGCATAATTGCTCCTCGTCATGACTGTGTGTGCTGTCTTTCTGCTCGTCCTTCCAAACCGCGACTCTGCAAACCCGTGACTACTGTGACTGCTGTACCTGCTGTGTCTGCTGTGCCTGCCATGCGTGCCATGCGTGCCATGCCTACCATGCCTGCCATGCGTGCCATGCCTGCCATGCGTCCTGTGCCCGCCATGCCTGCCGTGTGTGCAATGTGTGCTACATGTGAGAGCAGTCAGAGGAGGTGTTGCGCGAGTACAAGCAGGAGCTGCAGGAGTTCGGCGAGGGGCTCAAGAAGGAGACGGAGGAGCTGGTGGAAACCACCGCCACCACCGTCAGCGACCTGCCTTCCTCACTCGAGTCCGGCGCCCAAGCGGCTCAGGTGAGACCTGCTATGCCGTGCCTGCCCCTGTGGTGTCCTCCTTTGTGGTCCGACAAGATTTCGCTTTTTGAGCATTTCCAGCCTGTTCCCTTGTCATTGTTCCGTCCACGGCTGCATCCCTCCCTCCCTCCCTCCTTCCCTCTCTCCCTCCTCCCTCCTCCCTCCCTCCCTCCCTCCCTCCCTCCCTCCTCCCTCCCTCCCTCCCTCCCTCCTTCCCTCCCTCCCTCCCTCCTTCCCTCCCTCCCTCCCTCCCTCCCTCCTTCCCTCCCTCCCTCCCTCCCTCCCTCCTTCCCCCCCTCCCTCCTTCCCTCCCTCCCTCCCTCCCTCCTTCCCTCCCTCCCTCCCTCCTTCCCTCCCTCCCTCCCTCCCTCCCTCCTTCCCTCCCTCCCTCCCTCCTTCCTCCTCCCTCCTCCTCCCTCCTTCCCTCCTCAGGCGCTCCCTCCTCCCTCCCTCCCTCCTCCCTCCCTCCCCTCCCTCCTCCCTCCTCCTCCCTCCCTCCCTCCCTCCCTCCCCTCCATCCCTCCCTCCCTCCCTCCCTCCCTCCCTCCTCCCCCTCCCTCCCTCCCTCCCTCCCTCCCTCCCTCCCTCCCTCCCCTCCCTCCCTCCCTCCCTCCCTCCCTCCCTCCCTCCCGCCCGCCCGCCCTCCCTTCCCTCGCTTCCTGGCTATCTCCTTCTTCCTTCCTCTCTCCCTCCCTCCCTCCTTCCTTTCTTCCTTCCCTCCTCTTCCCATCCCTCCTCCTTCCCTCATCGTTCTCCCCCTCCCGTTTTTCCATCCTCATTGACCCCCTATTTCCCTCCTCCCCTTCCCTCGTGTTTATTACGTGCATCCCTCCTCAATGCCTTATAGAGTTCGTTGGAGGGCGTGGGCCACACAATTGAGGAGTTCGGCTCGTCTTTATGGAAAGGGTGAGTTTCAACGCTGAAGAATGCGCATAAAGATGACGTGCCCTGGAAGGGACACGTGGCAGCAATCCTATGGAAGAGAGAGACAGTGTGGAGTAAAGTCCACCCATGTCCTCCATCTCTCTTGCCTTAACACCAACAACCCGCTCGCCTCTTCACAGTCCCTCTCACCGTCTGCCGCCTGCCTCGCACCACCCCCTTGCCGCTCAATCACTCCCACCCCCCTCTCTCTCATTGTGCGGAGCAGCACAACGGAGATCCTGGCATCAGTGAAGGAGGCAGTGGCGATGGTGGAGGAGGAGGTGGCTGCCAACGCTGCTGGCGCCCGCCCCCGCGCGCCTTCCGCTGCTGCTGGGCTCGCCTCCGCCATCCCCAGAGGGTGAGAGCACGGGGGAAAGGGAAATGTGGGGAAGAGTGGGAGGGAGGGGGGGGGGATGTGAGGGGGGTGAAATTCGGGAAGGGAGTGAGGTAGAGGGGGGAGAAGTCTACGTGAAAGTAAGAATGTGCTCGTTGGATTGACTACCTTGATGGGCGCAGCGCTCCCTTGTTTTGCTGCTTTCTGCCTGCCAGTTGCATCAGCCCGCAGACTTGTATTCTCATGATGTCACCTCTCCTCACTCTACCCACTTGCCCGTGTGCATGGCAACTGGTCTTCGTCCTTCCGTTGCGTTCTGTATGGCCAATGGAAGCAGCAAGTACAGCCGCTACGAAGCACTTGTGAGCACTCAGCTGCACCCTTCAACTCTCTTGGCTCGGAATTAATCTATTCTCACCTGCCCTTTGCTAACCATACTCTGTGCCTCTTCTCACTGGACCCAGCTCGTCGTCTTGTTTAGTCATCTTCCTCTCCCTCTTCCTCTCCTTGAACCCGCTCACTCTTTTTCAACCATCCACCCCTCTTCGCCCCTCATCATCCCTCTGTGCCGTGCGTGCAGGTGAGCGCCATGCAGAGGGACAGCAGCACGTACTGTGACGAGCCAGAGGACACAGATGACTTTGCCAAGTGGGTCGAATCTTTCGACCTCAAAAACAGGTGTGCATTCACTCACTCACCCACGCACCCAGCTAGCCCTTCATGTGATGTCCTTTTCTCTTTCTGCTCTGCTTCAGCTCACCGTTTAAGTTGTTCTTTTGGGTCTCCATGCCCTCAGAGGCGATGAGCCGTTGAAACAAGGCATGACATTGCAAGTCTTTTGTGTATTGTGTGGTTCTGACGTTTCTGCTGGATGTTCCACGTGTGTGTGTGGGGTGCACCAGGGAGGCGGACGTGGAGGCAGTGCTTAAGGACAATGCATTCATGCAGGAGCTGCAGTCACGCATTGGTGAGTCATGACATTCACTGCATGCCCTACTCACTTGTTCTTCATGTGGCGTCTATCGTGCCTGTAATCTCCCTCTCCCTCTGTCAAATCCCCAGTCCTCCTGCTCCCCCGTATGGCACACGGCAGTGCCGTTGATCGTGGAGCGCGAGACCTTCTGGACGCGCTACTTCTACCGCCTCTACCGCCTGCAACAGGCCGAGGACGCCCGCGCCGACCTTGTCAAGAGTGAGCCTCCTTCGTGCCGCAGCTTGCTCCATGCTTCCAGCACCCCGTGTTATGTAGAACACTTCATCTGGCCTGGCATACCCTCTGTCATGCTTCTTCCGGTGACTCGAGATGCAGGCTGCTCACATATGCTCACTGTCTTGCTCCCCTGCCCTCACGTGGCTGCATGGGCGACGATGTCATAACAGGAGGACCTGAGCTGGGATGTGGACAACGAGCAGCCATTGAATCACCCTCTGCCATGTTCCCACTGTCTTGCTCTCCTGTCCCGCGTTTCTGCAGGGGCGACAACATCAGAGGAGGAGGACCTGAGCTGGGATGTGGACGATGATGCAGATGACGCTCAGAGCAGCCCTGCAGCCGCCCACCATGGCGCTGCGGGTAAAAGTGAAGCTGCTGATGCGGATGCAGCTGCTGCTGCTGGAGTCACTGCGGCTGATGATGCTGGTGCTGGTGCTGCTGCTGCTGTTGATGGCAATGGCCCTGCTGATGCCTCGCCTTCTGATATACCAGAGGAGGCAACGGCAAAGGTCCCAGCGGAGGAAGAAGCAGCTGCTGGTGAGGATGCTACTGCAAGTGCTGGAAGTGAATCAGCTATTAATAAGGATGGTTTATCAGATGATCTCAGATTAGCTACTTCTCTTGAAATAACACGTGCTGTCCTTTGGTTATTGGGCTCATAGTGTTGTGCTTGGCTTCGGTGTGCAGGGATGGAGAAGCGGGCACAGAGGATTGGGGAAGCAAAAGATGCAGGAGCAGGGGAGGGCGAGAAGGAGAGAGATGCATCAAGTCCAGCTGCGACATCGCCGCAACCAGGTGACTAAAGAAACGATCCTGTCCACTCATTCACCCGTGACTCAGCTTGGTAAACTGGCTTATTATCGTGTGGGATCTTTGTGAGGTTGGGGATGCTTCTGAGCGTGGTGTTATCAGGTGCTACCCTACGATGACTTGTACAAACTTATTCTGTAATTTCAATGGTAATCGGCTCCTGTGTGCACGCGTCTGGTAGGGAGTGTGCCTCTATCGGAGGTGAAGGTCCCTCGCCTGGAGGATGCCGGGCTGGAAGACACGGCACTGCCTCTATCCGACATCCAGGTTGGTGTCTCTAGCGTCGCTGGGTGGGCTGTGTTGTTTCTTGCGCGTGCAAGGCCGCCAGGAAGTGTCTGCTGGCAGGCTGCAGCTGATAGTGGAGGTGTTTAATTGGTTCCTCGTGGTTGCGTCGGTGCTGTATGCATGCATGTGCTGTTTGGGGCCGGCCACAACGGGGACAACGATGAATTTGATGCGACAACTGTGCAGGCTGCGTTTGAGATTGCAGCGAGAGAAAGGCCAACGGGTAAGCATGGAGAATCGGGACCTCTTCCTGCACCACAGCTGCTCTCCTGATGCCATTTACTGGTTGCGTCCCATGGGGTGCACAATACAGTGTCACACGGTGGGCATATTTGTGTATTTTTCACATCTCGTCTTTTCCTTGTCTATGTTCCCTGCAGAACCAAGTAATCGCAGCAACAGCAGTGACAGCTCAGCAGGCAGTGAGTGGCAAGTTGTGTCTAAAGATGATGCTTCTAAGGAGGACGGATTGAAGGCATCACAACCCTCTGCTGCTGCTCTTACTACAGCAGCTGAGGCGGCTGCCGCTCCTGCTTCTGACGTGTCAGAACCTGCAGCTCTGGTCTCCCAGCCTGCTGCTGAGCCTACAGTTGCCAGCGGTTCAAATACAACAAGTGCGGACGGCGAAGGGGCGAAGGAAGAAGGAAACGAGAAAAAGAATGAGGCAGAGGCGAGGGGAGGGAAGGGCAAGAAGGAAGGTGGAGTTGAAGAGGAGGATGAGGTAAGCCAGAGATGAGTTGTCTTTGTGGAACATGCATTGAGCAAGGGGGGGTTGTGAGTGGGCACGAAGGATGCATCCTGTGGTTGTTGAAGGTACACACTGGGTTTGTTCATTATATGCCTATCCATGCTGTGTGCGTGCCAATTGGTGAAAATCTTCCTAGTTCCCTTTGGCGCTTTGTGTGGACTTGGCTTGCAGGATTGGGGTGAATGGGAGTGAGGAGCGCAAGGAACCAAGGATTTGTATGAATACATAGTGCTATTGTTTTACTCAACGAAGACGTAGGCTCTTATCTTACGGTATGATTGCTAGTTCTGTTAGAATCTGACCCTGCTGGAATTCTGAGATAATGTGTACGTTATGAATCGAAGCAGTGTACTACGGACGATTTGTATATGCTGGTTCCAGGTGAAACCTCTAATAGAGACGTTGGCTCGGGTGATTGCCTAAATTCTATACCAATCCAGTGCTCCAAGTTTGTGGACGGTTGGGTCTCCCACTTGTGGAAAGAGGTCCTGCCAGATTCGTCGTGAGGTGCATCCGAAGCCAAAAAGCGTTTCGTTTCCAATCTCATGGATTTGCAAGATAGGCTGCCAGTTTTGTCCTTTTCAGCTCCGTGGCGCAACCTCGATCAAGCACGCGTTTTGGAGGGGAATCCTAGGAAGTTTCGAACCGACGTGACACGTTGTTTGCGGCTGTCTGAGTTCGTTGACACATCCACTCTTTAAGTGGTTGGTTTGATGGGATCAGGGTGCACCACATGACCCACTTCAACCTGGATGCATCCATTGTCTTGTTTAAGCTTTTTTTTTTTTTTGTTAGGGCCGAAATGGGGGGCGTGGTGGGGGAAGGGTGGGAGGGGGTAGGGGTGTGCTTCATGGGAGGAGAAGGTGGGGGGGTGGAGGGGCCACACACTATTTTGAAGGACCACAACCTCTTTAATAGAAAAATAACATGTATTTTTAACCGACCATTCCGGATGACGTCATCCCCGACGGTTCTGTGGAGGATTGGATTGCATGTTGACCTGGTGACATGGGCTTGCGTGAGTCCCCTGGTTGACATCTGTCTTTGCGCTCGATGCCTCTCATGCGAGCCGCGATGCAAATGTCCGTTTCAAATCAGCGACACAGGTCAGCGGAGCATCTTCCCCACCCGCTATCCACGTTCGGCCCCTGGCTCCCCTAGACTTTTGCGCCGACACCACACCATCGCGGAGCCATCACCTTCCTCCTCCACCCTCGTGCGCAACCACCGCTGGTTAGAGTTTGCGGGCCAATCACGCGTGCTCTCACCTTTTCGTCGTCGTGTCAGCAACTTTCGCGCCGACCTGTTGGAGATGACTCTCTGAGGTGGGGTTGGGCCAACCAAAGGAAGCTAACCCCTATTGAAACGAGTCCGTGCCCCCCATCGCAGTTTAAAAGCGTGGAACTTCGCACTCAACGCGCGCAACTTCGATACCTGAACGCTCGTCCGAACCAAATCAACATCCACTGGAATCATTTTCCTCGCCAGGCCCGATACTGTCGAACTTACACCCTGGTTTTTCCCGACGCCTCGGACTAACCCAGGATTTTTCTCCATCTTCTCCATCTCGCAGAGTCCAGCCCAACCCCGAACCCTCTTCCCCGCCCCTTCCTCCCCCCTCCTCCTCCCCTCCTTCCCCTCCCCCCGCCTGATCTCCTTCCGCCATCCGTTCATCAGCTTCCATCCCAGACACCCAAATCTTCCTAGCACAAACAAACCTCGAGCTGCTATAACAAACCCGTTCCCCACTTCATTTCATTACCCAGCTTTTTTTGAGAGCGGTTCACCGCTCTTTCCTCCAGCTCTCTCGTAGCTCACCATCTCGCTCGTTACTACCTTCTAGCTTTGCCGAATTAATTCGCAAGGACCGTCTCTTCGACCATGGCAGATACGCGTCAAGTAGGATCGCTCTGGACTCCAGAGGTAGATTTCTATGAATCTGCAGAGTTTCCGAAGCTCATTTTTCCTCGTTAACGTACTTGGTGCTCGTTTCCGCTTGCCAAACTCACTAAAATAAACTCGAATCTGCTATTCGATTTTTGTTTCCGTGCAGGAAGACGTAATTCTTCTGCAGCACGTAGCTCGCTACGGCACCAAGCATTGGGGCTCTCTTCAATCCAGCTCAACCTTGCCTCACCGCGATCAGAAGGCGTGTTGTAACCGATTTATTCTTCTGAAGAGGTAATTTGACCATTAGGATCTTTCCAAATCCGACGATTCGTTCATCCTGTGAGCATAGACGTATCATCAACTCGCGCCGTCGCCCCGCAGGAAATTCTTCCAGGCTCGAGCCAAGGGTCAGAACCTGCAGACCATCTTTCCTTACATCAACGTCAACTCCCAGCCTCAAAGCCCCTCGGCGACGGTGGCCTCGTCGATGCTTCACGCTCCCGCATCCCTCTCTTCCACGGAAATCGCTCTCCGCGTGAACGCCTCGTCTCGCGTAATCTCCAAGCGCGCCGCAGCGCCTTCGCTTTCGAAGCCTGCTGTCCTTCAGTCCGCTCTCACCACGTACGAAAAGAATCTATTCGTTCTTCCTTTTTTCCTTTTTTTTTTGTCTTTTTTTTTCCAATTTGCGGTGTTTACTTCAGCTCGCTCCCTTCCGCTCGTGATCTGATCGAGGTTTGGTTACATGTGTATTGGTCCACAATTCCGCAGTGTTAAAGATCAAGCCGCAAATGGCGGTGGCTCCGTGTGGATGCCGAACCTCGTCGACGCGCAGCGCTCTCCGGCTGTTTCAGATCCCTCGGCTCCTCTCAGCGCATCTCACGGCGTGCTGTCCGTCCAGCAGCAGCAGCAGCAACTGCAGCAGCTGCTCGTCACGATCGGCCAATCAGCGAACGCCGTGAGCCAAGCCACGATGCAGTTCGTCAACGCCACGTCGTCCGTCAACCCTACTTCGTAAGCACAGGCTCAGTCTTTCAGTCGCTTTCTTGTGCCCTTTCGTATTGGTTCCTGACAAACTCTTCATTCGTATTCTCATGGCAGATTTCCCGCCAGCCACGTCAGCCATCAGCAGGCTCAGTCCGCAGCTTCCAATTCCGGCGCGGGCCAGCAGAGCGCAGCAGACGCGGTGGTGAACATGATTCTGCGCAAACTCGCCGGCGACGCGTCTGGCTTCGCGAAGCATCCAGTCGCCAGCGCAGCGGCGGCCAGCCCCGCTTCGTCCAAATCGGACGTCTCCGTCGAGCCCGCCTCCGCTGCTGCTCCCTCCGCTCCCCTGCTCGACGCCTCGTCCCGCCCCTCGTCCGCCCCCCCTCGCCGTCCGACTCTCCTCTCCGCGCCGGAGCGCGGGCCGTCCGCCGTCGTGCCGTCATCCGCGGGCTCTGTCCCCGCGGACTCCGGCGTGAGTCTGCAGCAGTTGGTGCCGGGATCGTCGGAGGAGACGGAGAGCGACGACGACATGCTGCTGGCGTACCTGTACGCGCAGGGCCACGCGCACGCCACGGTGCCGGAGGTACATGGGAAGGAGACAAGGGCGGACGGCGCAGTGGGGGAGGTCGAGAAGCAACAGGAGCAGCAGGTGCAGCAGGTGCAGAGGCAGGGGGAGGTGATGGCAATGGATGGAGCAGCGGACATGTCGCTGCTGCTGCAGCTGCACGATGAGGTGATGGCTCTCGAGAAGCTCGTTGCTGCTGGCGCGTCCTCCGCGCCCGCTGCTGCTGCTTCGCCTAGCACCGACCTCATCGCAGCCCCTACGTCAGCCCTGGCGCCCCTCCCTCCGCGCGCTGTGAACGCGTCCTTCTCCTGTGCTGCTGCGGCGTCGGTTGCAGCTGTCCCTCTCCCCAGGAGCACCTCCCAGCGCCCTGACGCGTTTCTGGAGCAGATGTCGAGTGCGCCCGCGCGTATGCTGTTTGGGTTCAGCCCTGTGTATGACCTCATGGCGCCTGGCGCTTCCTGGAACGCTCATGCTGCTGCTGCTGGTGCCGCTGCCATACCTGCTGCTGGTGATGCGGCTGGATGGGACTTGAAGGAGCTGATTGATGCGTGGGCGGTCAACCTCGGTGCCTCTGCTGCCTTCTTGGCGTGACATGTGTACAGAGTGGCACCCGCGCACATTCAAAGACTGCAAGTGTTGCCGCGGTGATGGTGGTGTTGCTGGAGGCAGTGGTTTCTTTGCTCTGCCCATTGCACCCAGTGGGGATTCGGCCACCATGTCCTTTGCTCTGCCGGAGCTTTCTTTGCAAGGGCGTCTGCTCTTGTTCCGCTCTTCTGCTCTCTTCGCTTTTGTTTTCCTCTCTTTGATGTCTGCAGTGTCTAGCCTTTTTTGCCAGGGATAGCTGGCAGCTTAAGCAGTGGGGGAGGCAGGTGTTGCGGTGCAGCTTGCTCTGACGGCTTCTCGCCGTTTTTTTGCCGCAGAGGGTGAAGGCCCGCTGTGTGCATGCTGTTGCTGCTCCGTGCCCTGCCTCTCCCTGCTCTGTGTCTGTCAGTTTATGTTCCAGGCTCCTAGGAAGGCACTTTAGGCACTGCCTAGTCTGTGTGTTGCTTGGCAGACTGTATCATGTGTCTCTTGTCTTTTACATTGACTGAACCTTTTGTTTTGAATTCATGAATGTCATCAAGTGAACACTTCACTGGAGTAGCCTAGGCGAACTACATCAGAGAGGAGCATGCAGCTTTGTCCACCTTTGTCCATGTTGCCTCCTTCAGTACTGCGCGTCCTCACAGCAACATGTCATGCAAAGTCCGCGAGAACAGCACATTCCCCCGCTACTGCTGGTGCTCGCAGTGATTTGACGCTTCGTTGCACATTTCCCCCTCGGTTCTTTGTCCTGTCAAATTCTCTTCCATCCATCCTCACACTTCCCCATGACGCCATGGCTTCAGCGTGTCTATCCTCTCGCCGCGTCTTGCCATGCACTGTCGCCCGTACCTCCACCGCACTTCACCGCTATATCCGTTGCCGTCGTCAGATCGCCAATCCTCGTCAAATCGCGAGTCGCAACCGCATATGCCACCAATTCGGAGAATCCAGTAGTGCCAGTCCGAGCAAACTAGGTGCGTGCCTTAGCACTTCCTGGCAGCAATGGGGGGATTCACAGAAAACGTCCCAACAGCTTTTTCCGTCTCCGTCGTCGTCTGTTCCATCCATGATCCTGCCGTCGCTGCTACCACCTCATGTGCGATCGCCCGTACTGGCAGAATATAATCCGACAGGTCCGCTCAGACAAATACGTTGCGAATCGCAGAGCCTGTTCCCTGCTCTCTTCCTAGGTCGTAGCACACGTGGAATTCATATGGCTGACGTCAGCGCGAGATGCTCTGAGCGGCGTTACTCCCGACGCGCTGCTTCTGCTACCACCAGCGCTGGCGCTGATCTGCCGAGAGCCAGTGCTGAAGCGGTGGACGTGGCGAGGGCCGATGCTGATGTGGCGGAACATGACGGTGACGTGGCGAGCGCAGGGAGCACGAGGGAGGCGGCGGTGGCAGCGGGGCGCGGGAAGGGTCTGCTGGCGTTCTACGCGGACCACCACGTGGTGCCCCTACCCGCCGGCCACCGCTTCCCCATGGACAAGTGCGCTCCGCGTCTCGAGTCGCCAGGAATGATGTTCGTTGGAAAGACGTGCTTGTATAGAGGATAATTCGACAACGTGGCAAGCGAGCGAGCGAGCGAGAGAGTGGGAGAGTGTGGCGGGCGGTCAGAGGTCCGGCATGCGTGGTGGTCACTCACGCCCATTCCCTGACTGCCATTCGCCCATCCCTGTGTGATGTGTGCCTGATTGTGCCTGATTGTGCCTGATTGTGCCTGATTGTGCCTGATTGTGCCTGATTGTGCCTGATTGTGCCTGATTGTGCCTGATTGTGCCTGATTGTGCCTGATTGTGCCTGATTGTGCCTGATTGTGCCTGATTGTGCCTGATTGTGCCTGATTGTGCCTGATTGTGCCTGATTGTGCCTGATTGTGCCTGATTGTGCCTGATTGTGCCTGATTGTGCCTGATTGTGCCTGATTGTGCCTGATTGTGCCTGATTGTGCCTGATTGTGCCTGATTGTGCCTGATTGTGCCTGATTGTGCCTGATTGTGCCTGATTGTGCCTGATTGTGCCTGATTGTGCCTGATTGTGCCTGATTGTGCCTGATTGTGCCTGATTGTGCCTGATTGTGCCTGATTGTGCCTGATTGTGCCTGATTGTGCCTGATTGTGCCTGATTGTGCCTGACTGTGCCTGATTGTGCCTGATTGTGCCTGATTGTGCCTGATTGTGCCTGATTGTGCCTGATTGTGCCTGACTGTGCCTGACTGTGCCTGATTGTGCCTGATTGTGCCTGATTGTGTGTTTGGCAGATACCGCAGCACTCGCCTTCTCCTGCAGTCAGATGCATCTCTAGATCGTATCCTGGCCGTCCATCCTGCACCTCTTGTCTCATGGGTGGAGCTTCAGCAGGTGCATGAGGAGGGGTAGGTGTGTGGGAGGGGTAGGTGTGTGGGAGGGGTAGGTGTGTGGGAGGGGTAGGTGTGTGGGAGGGGTAGGTGTGTGGGAGGGGTAGGTGTGTGGGAGGGGTAGGTGTGTGGGAGGGGTAGGTGTGTGGGAGGGGTAGGTGTGTGGGAGTGGTAGGTGTGTGGGAGGGGTAGGTGTGTGGGAGGGGTAGGTGTGTGGGAGGGGTAGGTGTGTGGGAGGGGTAGGTGTGTGGGAGGGGTAGGTGTGTGGGAGGGGTAGGTGTGTGGGAGGGGTAGGTGTGTGGGAGGGGTAGGTGTGTGGGAGGGGTAGGTGTGAGGGAGTGGTAGGTGTGTGGGAGGGGTAGGTGTGTGGGAGGGGTAGGTGTGTGGGAGGGGTAGGTGTGTGGGAGGGGTAGGTGTGTGGGAGGGGTAGGTGTGTGGGAGGGGTAGGTGTGTGGGAGGGGTAGGTGTGTGGGAGGGGTAGGTGTCTAGAGGGAGGCAGCGAGTGGGTCATGTGCAGGGAGGAGCGTATGGGCGTGTGTGACTGCCTGTACGTGGGTTGCTAATGCACTCTGTGGCCTCCATCCTCCTCTCTTTTCCCTAACCCCATCTCTGCATCTCCCCCCTCCTTTATCCTCCCAACCACCGTCCCACCCCCCAGCTACTTGACGCGGCTATTCACACACGCGCTCTCAGAGCAGGAGCAGCGAGTGCTGGGCTTCCCCTGGTCGCCGCACCTGCTGCTGCGCTCACAGGCCTCGTGCGGGTATGCAGGCTGTGGCAGTGTGGGGATTCTATGAGGCGATGATCATGTGTGTGTCACTCTCGTGTGGGCCTGGGGAAGTTGGCAATGCCCGTTCCATTCGCCTCCACTCGCCTTCTATCCAGCTTCCTCCACCCATCTGCTTTGAAAAATACCTCTCGCTCTCACAGTGTGACTCAAATTCATCCCAACCACCACCCGCTCGTTCCCTCTTCCCCGCCAGCGGCACTGTAGCAGCCACCCACGCGGTGCTGATGGGGCTCAGGCGGGCGGCGGGGGTGCTGGCGGGCGGCACACACCATGCGTTCCGGGGGCACGGGGAGGGCTTCTGTGAGTGAGTGGGGGTTGTCATGGGGAGGGGATATGGGAGTTGATGATGTTGGGGAGGAGAGTATGGAAGTTGGTCGGTGTGCCTGGTAAGTGAGGGAGGAGGGGGAATGGGAATGCTGGCACCACTCCTTGACTGTCCCACCTTCTATATTCTTCCACCATCCGCCTCTCTCCTCTCCTTTCCCTTATCTATCTCTTTTTCTATACTGCCTCTTCTCTCCCCATTCCTCTCCTTCTCCCCTCTCGTCCGCCCCAATCCCCCTGTCAGGTGTGTTCAACGACATAGCAGTGGCAGCGCTGGCAGCACTCACGCACCACCCCACCGTCTGCAATGCCGACCGGCCCATCCTGGCCCTTGATCTCGACGTGCACCAGGTGCACACCGCCACCTTCAGCAGCAGCATGCACAGCCGTGTGTGTGTGGAGCGCCACACCACTCTCCTCTCTTTCTCTTGCTTCGACGCCCCCCCTCTTCCTCAGTTTCCACCACCGCACTCCCCGTTCCTCCTCGTCCCTCAGTGCCTCTCTCGTTTCGTGACTCATCCTCGTGACCGCCCTTAAGACCCCTCAATGAATCGTCCTGAGGCCTGCCCTCTCGCGCCTGTCTATCCTCTTGCACCACCCTGCCTTTGCACCCCCCCTTGGCAGGGCAACGGCACGGCGAGCATATTCGAGGGCGACCCGCGAGTGGTGACATTCTCAATGCACGGCGCCAACAACTACCCGTGGCGCTCCAAGCGCCGCTCCGACTACGATGTGGAGCTGCCCGACGACACGGGGGATGCTGCTTACCTCTCCCTGCTCGAACAGTGGCTTCCGAAGCTGTTTGAGCACCACCGGCCGAGCCTCGTCATGTTCCAGGTTAGGCAACAGGAACAGGCTTGGTGGATGGGTGGGAGAGTTGTGGCTGGTTATGGTTCATGTATCCGAAGATGAGATTCGTTGCCAGTGGGCTTCACTATGTTGGTTTTTTTTTTTTTTTTTTTTTTTGTGCCCTGTGTGTTATGCAGGCAGGGGTGGATGCTCTTAAAGAGGACAGTTTTGGCAGGCTTGCAATGACAAGGGCTGGCATGCTGCGGAGGAACAACATGGTATACAGTGCTTGTATCGACAACCACGTGCCGTTGGTCATCACCATGGGGGGCGGCTATTCACGACCTCCTGATGGTGAAAGTTTTTTTTGCTGCAGGGAGTGGTAGTTTCAGTGCTGATTGGATTGAAATGGTTTCATTTGCTTGACCTTTTGTTTTTTTATTTGTGTGCAGCTTCCATCGCGGCACATGCCGATGTGTATCGGTCAGCTGCATATAGATTCTCTCATTTGTGAAGCCGATTAAACAAGTTAGACGGTAGTTAAGGTAAGCTCAAACGCTAGTAGCCTTTGGCTGAGTTCTTTTAGTTGCATGGTAGCTATTGTGATTCCATGTCAGGGAATATATATTCATGAATTAGATCTTCAACCTGGTGGTGAGCGCTGTAACGCGTCTGGCCTGCACTGTTGGAGGGAACCGAGAACATTCACCGCGTGCCCTTCCTCGTCGCTTCTCGCTGCCCTCGAAGTTCCCAGCGAAGCGTCATCGCCTGGCGCGCGCTGCCAGGCAGGCGGGACGGGAGTGTGGAATTTGCGCCCCCCCTCACCGCCTGTCTGTTGTTGGCCCTGAGCCCACACATTTTGACTTGAACCGCATTTCACGGATTCCACACTCGTCTTTCCGTTTGCTCTTCTTGCCAGCTGCAATCCTCCGCGCTTCGTGCTTGCCTCTGCTCTCGCCTCGTACAACCTCGTCTATATATCGCACTGCGCACCGATGGCTGCTGCTCCGCCTCTTACAGCTAGTCCGAGCAAGGCGGCGTCACCGTGCGCGGGCGGGGAGGTCGCGCCAGCCATCCCAGGCATGACGCTGAGCCCGCATAAGCCGACCTCCGCCGCCGCCGCCGCCACCGCGGAAGGGCCGCTCTCCATCGTCATCTTCGGCGCGTCGGGCGACTTGGCGAAGAAGAAGACGTTCCCCGCGCTCTTTAATCTCTTCCAGCATGTGCGCGCGTAAATAGTGCTTCCGTTTTCGACGCGCTTTCCTCTGCGCCACGCGTTTTTCCGCCGCGTCTCTCCCGCTTTTGGTCGCCTCACGGATTCTTATCTCTCCCACACAACCCACCCCCCCAACCAACCCCCCCCGTTCCCCACACACCTTTTTCCCCCATCTCCTCCCCCGGTCGGCGCAGGGCTTTCTCCCCGCTGGAGAGATCCGCATCTTCGGATACGCGCGCTCGCCGATGACGGCGGAGCAGCTGCGCGAGAAAATCAAGGGGTGAGGGGGATGGTCGAGGAGAATGGTTATATCCACGGGAGGGTAGTTGCTGCTATGTTGCCGCGGTGCGTCCTTGCATGCCACGTGCTCGCGAGACATGCTGTCACAATGCTGGATTTAAGAGTGCCGCGTGCTGCTGTGTGTGTGTCTCACCTCACCTGCTCCCCTCCCCCACAGCTACCTCAAGCCCAAGGGCGACACGGCCCCCGCCCAGGACCCCGTTGCAGATTTCCTCAGCGTGGTGAGTGTCCCAAGCCCTGCACCGCCGTGCAACGCCGTGCAATGCCCTACACCGCCCTACACCGCCCTGCACCGCAGAGTGCCCCAAATTCTGCACCATGCCACGTTGCATGCACCTCCATTTGTGAATCGGTATGGTCCTTCCGCATCCCCGCCGCCTCCTTGCCCCCATCTTTCTCCCCCTCCCGTTAATCTTTCTCTTTCCCCACCCAACCGTCTCCGCTCCTCTCTCCCCTCTTTCTCTCCCCCCCTTGCCGCTGCGTCCCCAGGTGGAGTACATCCACGGCCCCTACGACGGCCGGGACGGCTACGCCAAGCTGCAGGAGGCCATGCTCGCATTCGAAAACACCACCGCTCCCACCGCCACCACCAGCGACAGTACCACTGGCACCACCAGTGACAGCAGCAGCGGGGCGACGAGGCGGCTGTTCTATCTGGCGCTGCCGCCGTCGGTGTACCCGCCGGTGTGCGCGGAGGTGCGGCGGTACTGCATGAACGCACGCGGGTGGACGCGCGTCATCGTGGAGAAGCCGTTTGGGCGCGACCTGGCGAGCGCGGAGGCGCTGAGCGGCGAGCTGGGGGCGCTGTTCAGCGAGGAGCAGATCTACCGCATCGACCACTACCTGGGGAAGGAGGTCGTCCAGAACCTGGTGCGCTCATAGGGGAAGGGGGAGGGGGGAAAGGGGGAAGGGGGGAGGGTTGTGGGGGGCCGAGCTGGGGGCGCTGTTCAGCGAGGAGCAGATCTACCGCATCGACCACTACCTGGGCAAGGAGGTCGTGCATAACCTGGTGCGCTCCATGGGGGGGAGAGGGGGGAAGGGGGTGGAAGGAGGAGGGGGGAAGGGGAGGGATGTGGGGTGGGAGGACGTGGGGTATATGGTTGGATGTGGAAGGGGAGAGAGTGCAGCATGTATTGTGTGCATGCAGCTGCCATGTGCCATTACTTCTTCTCCCAGGCACATGGTTATGTCTTGAGCTGTTCGTCTCTGCCCTTCCCTCTTACGCTTCCCTTGCTCCCTCCTTCCCCTCCCACCAACCAGTTGGTGATGCGCTTTGCCAATCGCTTCTTCGTGCCGCTGTGGAACCGAGAAAATGTCGCCAACGTGCAGGTGGGTGGTGGGTGCACGCACGTGACACGTGGTATGCGTGTCAGCTGTGACTTGTGCGTGCACCTCATTGGCGCCACTCCTCTTCGCTCCCCCCACCACTCGCCCTTGCCTTCACGTTCCACCCTTCCCCACACTCGTTGCTTGCCTTACCACCACCACCTACTTGCCTATCTCCCCCTTGCCACTGCAGATTGTGTTCAGGGAGGACTTTGGCACGGAGGGCCGCGGAGGCTACTTTGACCAGTATGGGTGGGTGTGCCGTCCCCCCCCCCCCCTGCCTCTCCTCTGCCCTCTCACTCGCGGCCTCCCACTGCTTCTTGCCATTTTAATTGCTCCTCTCACTGCTTCTTGTCATTGCAGCCCATGTGGTGCTTCTTGTCATTGCAGCCATGTGGTGCTTCTTGTCATTGCAGCCATGTGGTGCTTCTTGTCATTGCAGCCATGTGGTGCTTCTTGTCATTGCAGCCATGTGGTGCTTCTTGTCATTGCAGCCATGTGGTGCTTCTTGTCATTGCAGCCATGTGGTGCTTCTTGTCATTGCAGCCATGTGGTGCTTCTTGTCATTGCAGCCATGTGGTGCTTCTTGTCATTGCAGCCATGTGGTGCTTCTTGTCATTGCAGCCATGTGGTGCTTCTGATATCTGACTCTGCGCTTCTGTCGTTTCCATCCCCTCGCTCCTCCTTCCCCTTGTGCAGCATCATTCGGGACATCATTCAGAACCATCTCATGCAGGTGCGCCGCCCCTCTTGCCCTCTCCATCGCATGCCATTCTCACCTGCCGCCCCTTTTTCCACTCGGGAAGCCAATTTCGGTGCTTCTTCTATCAGCCTTCCTTTACTCCCTTACGATACCAACTCCTCCTGCCCTCTTCCCCCCCTCTTCCCCCTGGTGCTGTGCCTCGTGGCGATGGAGAAGCCGGTGTCGGTACTGCCGGAGGACATTCGTGACGAGAAGGTGAAGGTGCTGCCAGCCTCACTGCATGCAATGCACCCCCTCTCAACCCCTCCCCCCCTCTCGCCACCCAGGTGCTGTGTCTCGTAGCAATGGAGAAGCCGGTGTCAGTGCAGCCAGAGGACATTCGGGACGAGAAGGTGAAGGTGCTGCGAGCCATACAGCCCATCAGGGAGGACGAGGTGGTGCTGGGGCAGTACGACGGCTACACCGATGACCCCACCGTGCCAGATGGCTCCCACACGCCCACCTTCGCGTCGCTTGTGCTGCGCATCAAGAACGAGCGCTGGGATGGTGAGAGGGAGGTTGGGGATGTGTGGTGCGCCGGGATTCCGTGCAGTGCGCACTGTGCACTCTGGCTAGTCCTGTGGGATGTGTGGGCGGACCTTGTACCATTGCCACGTTTGAGCCATGCACTCTCACTTACTGTCTTCCCTCGCCACCAATCCATTACCGCCTATGGGGTGAGCAGGGGTGCCGTTCATAATGAAGGCGGGCAAGGCGTTGGAGTCACGCAAGGCGGAGATCCGAGTGCAGTTCCATGACGTGCCGGGCGACATCTTTGGCTGTGAGCTCGCTTGCACTTGTCCGCATGCTCTTCATTTCGTCCTTATTCTCCACAGCTCGATCAGTGTAGAGTTGTCTTATGCCTCTGTTCCTCCCTGCTCGCGCCTCCCGTCCCTTGCAACGGTGGTGTTGCAGGTGGGCGGAACTCGCGGGACGAGTTTGTGATGCGCCTGCAGCCATCAGAAGCCATGTACATGAAGCTCACGGTGAGTTAACGAACGTGTGAGGGAAGAGGTGTGTGTGAGAGGGGCGGCTGTTTATCACATGATTTTGCTAGGATGGTGCAAATTCAAAGTCTACGATGAGATGGGACTCACAGTATGGTGACTGGTATGGTGTGCTGCACGGTGCATGGCATGGTGTGCTGCATGGTGCATGGCATGGTGGCAGGTGAAGAAGCCGGGGTTGGAGATGGCAGCGACGATGAGTGAGTTGGATCTGAGCTACAGCCAGCGCTACTCAGGAGTGGTCATCCCCGAGGCCTACGAGCGCCTCATCCTCGACAGGTCAGCACACACAGGCCATGCTGCTATCGTTCATGCACTCCTGTGTGGTGTCTACCTGCCGTGTCGTGTCGGCCATCGCACGCTCGTGGTTGGCTGTTTTGCTGAGCCCACCTTCCCGTGTTTGGCATGTGTTTCCCCCTCCCCCATGCATCCCCTTGCAGCATCAATGGCGACCAGCAGCACTTTGTGCGCCGAGACGAGCTCAAGGTATGGCGATCTCAGGGAGGATACTCAGACTCAAATCCTCTTCACTCGTTTAAAAGTTTGGCCTCATTTGCTGTACGTCTGGCAGGAAGGCTGCATAGGTGCACCCTTTGTCCTCGGCCATCCCTCCCACCTCTGTGACCCTCTCCCGTGCCTCCCCTCACAGGCGGCGTGGGAGATCTTCACGCCGCTGCTGCACCGCATCGATCAGGGCGCCCTCCCCCCGCTCCCTTACAAACAAGGCAGCCGGGGCCCCGACCACGCGGACGAGCTGGCGGAGCGCGTGGGGTACCGCCGCACTCAGGGGTACTGCTGGATTCCGCCGACCCTCGCGGAATAGAATGGCGACGAGAATTGCTTCTATGCACTATCCACATTCCAATACAATCATTTTGTAGTCACTGCATGGTAAAAGACATTGATGTAGACCCATGGGTACTTGTGAATTGTCCATGTCCTTTTGCAAAATTGTATTGAGTAAATCTTATACGAGATTACATACATCTGGCAATACATCGGCAACACTTCAACCACATTACGCTTACACAAGACTACGCATTGCAAACCTTGAAGGGTAAGTCGTTGCGAACAGCTTCGCCCAGCCCACGTCTTGAATAAGCACGCGGCCCTGCAGAGATAGGTAACCACGAGGGGTGAGTAATCGAGCAATCACAACCTTTGCAGTACAAACACGGGTGCTACCAACAAGGTCCACAAAGGAAAGACCACGAAGAAGCCGCCATAGCTATCGGAAGGAAATGTCCCGGACGACAGGTCAACAAGAGCACACGGGAAGGGTGCACTAATTGGTTTAAAGCACGGGCTATTCCGATCTCCGCTCGACAAATGACACTTCCCAGGCATCGAAAGGCCAGGCAAGCAACGCCTCGCCAAGCGGGTAAGGAGGAAGAACGGGGAGTTCAGGGTACAGCCCACGTACTTGTCATGAGGTTGTATTCTGGAACGCTTGATGTCTATGCGGGGAACCCTTCGCCTGAGCACACACAACAAACTCACAGCACTTGGTCGTTGAAAAAACGAAACAAGAACAAGCATGAACGAAAGATCGCAAGCGTCAGGATGAAGTCTGCCAAGGTATTGTAGTCAGGCAATGGCGCAGGCCTAGAGTGAAACAGCTGAGGTCATGAGAGGCACCTAAATAGTAGGGACGAGCACTAGGAGCCAAACCCAGAGCTCTCCAAAGGAATTGTAGGTGGTGCGGCCGTGGTGAGCCGAGATGAGGTGGTGAGCCACCTGCGGTAACCAGGCGAGCATCGCTCACTCGCCCAGTGACTGTCGCCCAGCTTCGTTGATTCACCGAGATAACAACATACCTCTGGCAAGAAATCTGGTACACGAGCAACTCACTATCTGTCATGTCTATCTAGGTTGCCAACGTTTTCCTTCCAATTACAATAACATCCCTCTAATACCTTTTCTACTGGAAGACAGCTTTCAAGAAATTGCAACCTAGCTATCACCCTTATACAGCAAATTATGTTGCAGGTTCGACCCATTGTTTGTTTTATTTATCCTAACCATATTCTCCGTGTGTTCCTGTTCATTCCCTACACAATCTGACAACCTAAACACTGGAGTGCTCGTCACAACTGCTGGCGGCAGCATCTGCCAGGAATTTTCTCCTTGCGCTCCAATCCCTCCTCTCGACAATAGCGTAGGCTGCACAGCCCCTGCCGCGCGTGACATGGAGAATGGTTGACCCCCTTCGACTTGCCCATCCGTGTCCCTCGCCACCACAGCCTGAGAGCTGGCTTCACAGGCTGCAGCACTCAAGCTGGGACTGAATCGCGAGGGCTCACCGGGGGTTAATTGGTCATGGAAGAAAGGGGAGAAGTGCAGCCCTGACTCAATCACACTGGCAGGACTTTCCTGTGGAGCTGCACGCATGGTGCATGAGCCAGCAGCGGACAATTCAGCTGCAGACACAGCACCAGTCACGGCTGGGGATTGTGCCAATGGTGCTCCAGCCAGGACCCCATTTTGTGCACTGCTTGCAGGGTGCACGTCACCATCAACCTCCAGCATTGCATGCATTGGTGCCGATGTGGCAGTGTCCTCCAAATCCGGATCAGATATCACTGCTCCATCCAGCATTGTTCCTGTGTCTCTGTGCTGTCTCCTCCCCAAGTCACAGTGAGCTCGAGGCGGAAGCTGAGACCCAGCAGGCGGGAGGAGACACGCTCTGGTTCCGCTATTTCTGCTGCTTCGGCTGCTCCTACTTCTGGCAACAGAGGGGTTGCCATTCCCATTGCTGCGCCGACTGCTGGCAGCAGATTGATCTCGTCTGCTGTCTCTGCTGCTCCTGCTGCGAGTGACCTGCGAGCTATCCATGAGAGAGGACCCTGGGGGGAAGCAGGGCGAGGTGCTGGCGCTACCAGGTGGGGTGGTGGCGAGTGCAGGCAGGGTGGGTGCACTGGAGTCACACCTGGGGCTGTGGGGTCCCAAGGAGGAATCGGGGTTGGAATCAGGTGGCATGAGGGAGCCGCCCTGCTCTTGCACACAAGGCGATGCCATGCACAGTGTATCCAGTGACAGCAGAGACGCAAAGGACGGTTGCTTCTGGTCGGCGTTGCTTGTCTGTTGTGCGCGGCGCAGCAGCTCGACGACAGTGCTCATGGAGGGGCGGGCGGCGGGGTCGCTGTGGACGCAGGCATTGGCGAGTGTGGCGACAGTGTGCAGCGCAGCAGGAGGGGGCGGTGAAGGGCAGGCGAGCAGGCGCGGGTCCAGCAGGTGGCCGTAGCGGGAGGGCTTTGAGAGCAGTGGACGCGCCTGCAGTGATCATGGGGCAGGGCACAGGGCGGATTGAGGGAGGAGAAGTGGGATCGGGAGCAATAGATAGAGGGAGAGGGGGACAAGGAAGAGGTAGGGTGAGGATTTTGAGGGGAAGAGAGGAGAATATCTACTGGATGAGAATGTTAACAGCTACGATGCAACAGGAGAAGTAACAAACACTCGCCCTGAGCACACAGTGCACCGGCAGGACTCACCCAGAGCACACAGTGCACCGGCAGGACTCACCCAGAGCACACAGTGCACCGGCAGGACTCACCCAGAGCACACAGTGCACCGGCAGGACTCACCCAGAGCACACAGTGCACCGGCAGGACTCACCCAGAGCACACAGTGCACCGGCAGGACTCACCCAGAGCACACAGTGCACCGGCAGGACTCACCCAGAGCACACAGTGCACCGGCATGACTCACCCAGAGCACGAGGCTTTCCTGGCCGAGTGGCCTCGAGGTGTCAACGGCCTTGCGGCCCGACAGCAGCTCCAGCAGCACCACCCCGAAGCTGTACACGTCGCTGGGCACCATCAGATGCCCCGTCATTGCGTACTCCGGCGCCACGTACCTGCATGGGGGGAACGGGTGGGTGAGGGCGGAGGGGGTGGGTGGAGGAGGGGGGACAGAAAAGGGAGGAGGGTGACGAGGAGGGTTAGCATGAAAAATGGTGTTGATCAGAAGACGGCCAGACGTTGGGACTTGCTTCCATCGATCATGTGCAAGATTCAACCACAGCCGACCCGCCACTCACCCAAAGGTGCCCATGACGCGGGTGGACACGTGCTCATCCGCCCCCTGCGGCGCCGCCTTGGCGAGCCCAAAGTCAGCGAGCTTGGGGCTCATGCGCGCATCCAGCAGGATGTTGGACGGCTTTAAGTCGCGGTGAATCACCGCTGGCTGCGACCCCTCGTGTAGATACGCCAGCCCCCTCGCCGCGCCCACTGCTATGCTGACCCGCGCGGGCCAGTCGAGGAAGGCGTGGTGGGAGTGCGGCCCGTGCAGCCACGAGTGCAGACTGCCGTTCGGCAGCAGCTCGTAGCACAGCATGTGCTCGCCCGGTGCTACACAGTAGCCGAGAAGCTTAACTAAGTGGCGGTGGTGCAAGCGTGACAGAACTTCCACCTCCACTAGGAACTCCCTGTCGCCCTGCCGCCCGCCCCGGTCCATCCTCTTTATTGCCACTTCGATAGGAGCAGCAGGGGGGGAGGAGGAGGTGGAGTGCGGTTGGGGGGGTATGTTGCCGCGGTAGACTCGCCCGAAGCCGCCCTCGCCCAGGACTGACGACTCGTGGAAGCTGCAGGAGGGACGGGGAGGGACAGGAGAAGGGGGAGGCGAAAGGGAGGAAGAGATGGAGTGGAGTGGAGGGGGTGGGGGGTTTGAGGAGTGAATGATTAGAGGGAGAAGTTTGGTCAGGCCAGGATGAGAGGGCGAATAGGAGAGAGAGAATGGGAGAGAGGAAGGAGATGAGAAGCAAAGGAGTGGTACTTGTTGGTGGCGAGAGCCATTTCTTGGAGGGAGAACTCCCTCACCCCGGACAGCCCACCCAATCCTCCCTTTCCGCTGCCCCCTGCAACTCCCCCATCGCTGTTGCCCTCGCTGCCCCGCCCGCAACCCAGCCCTGCAGCGGGCAGTGCAGCCGCGGATACAGCAGCACGCACACACTCGTCTCCAGGCTCTGCCCTTGTGTCCGCTCCGTCATCGCGTGCACCCATCTTACTGTACGCCCCTGCTGCCCCTGCCGTGAATCCAGCTGTGCTTGACGCGAGACAGCAATTTGCATAGGCATCCCCATCCTCATCCGAATGTGCAGGATGGATTGGGTGCTGCAGGTCGCTGCTTGACCCCTTGCCCTTGATCAGCACCTCTGGCTCTGCTGCACATGTGAGGACGGGGAGTGGGAGAGGGGGAGAGATGGGCGTGCGTGGGATTCTGGACATACAAGCAGCATGGAAAGCACAGTTATAGCACAGGAAGGAGTTGAGTCTCCAGACAAGACCATGCAGGGGATAGCAAGTGCATGCGGGCACATTGCATGTGACGTACTTGGATCAACGGGCACATTGCATGTGACGTACTTGGATCAACGGGCACATTGCATGTGACGTACTTGGATCAACGGTGCGGCAAGGCATCCAAGTGCAGTAGAGCAGGCCTCCCACGCCCACTGCAGTTACTGCCACCGCACCCACCACCAGCAGCACTACCATGTTCACGCTCATCCCCTCCCCTGCACTGTTCTCCCCTGCACTGTTCTCCCCTGCACTGTTTCCGCCTGCCTGTGCGCCCACCCCTCCCGTGGCAGTGCCAGAGCCAAGGCTATTGCTACTGGAGCCACTGTAATTGCCTACCCCCCCCGGGCTAGGGCTGCTTCCTCCTTGGCTGCTCGTGCTGTTGCTGCTGCTGCTGCTGCTGCTGCTGCTGCCACTCGCACTGTCAACGACATTGCTGTTACCACTGGCATTGCTGGTGGTGTAGCCACCACCACCACCGCCACCGCTGCTGCTGCCGCTGTTGCCTGGGGCTGGTGGGGCCGGAACGGGCGGTGGCGACGGCGTGGGCAGGGAGGGAGGCGCAAGGGGCGGCAGCAGCTGAGTGAGGGCCACAAGCGAGTACTCCCCGTACAGCCTGGCATCCAGGTGTATCTCGTGCCGCCTCATCCGTGAGTCGACCTGCGCCAGGAAGCTTCTGGGGAAGGTGGGCTGATAGCGCGGGAGGAGCAGCAGAGTGACAATGGCGGCGGTGTGGTCGGTGCGGGATAGGGAGCGGCGCAGGATGCACGACTCGGGCAGGCGCAGCTGCTCCGCCAGGTCCTGACACGCGGGCGAGAGAGGGGGGCGCGGGGAGGCGTGAGAAGGCAGGCGGGTGAGCGAATGAGTGTTACATGCATGTGCTATGCAACAATCGCCAACAGACGACCGTGACACGGCGACCGTTAGATGGCGACCGTCAGATGGCGACCGTCAGATGGCGACCGTCAGATGGCGACCGTCAGATGGCGACCGTTAGATGGCGACCGTCAGATGGCGACCGTCAGATGGCGACCGTCAGATGGCGACTGTCAGATGGCGACTGTCAGATGGCGACTGTCAGATGGCGACTGTCAGATGGCGACTGTCAGATGGCGACTGTCAGATGGCGACTGTCAGATGGCGACTGTCAGATGGCGACTGTCAGATGGCGACTGTCAGATGGCGACTGTCAGATGGCGACTGTCAGATGGCGACTGTCAGATGGGGACTGTCACATGGCAAGCGTCACATGGCAAGCGTCACATGGCAAGCGGCATGGAAGCAACGTACGTGGACGAAGGATGCGAAGTGCATCTCCACGGCCGTGGCGTTGGACAGCCGCACCGCCAGCTCCGCGGGGTGCACGCACGCGCACCGCCCCTCCGTCGCGCTCGGACTCAGCGCCTCCCACTCCCGCTGCGAGCACGCCCCCGCGCACACCACTGGCGGAGGCGAAGGCGCAGACGGAGGCGATGGGGAATTTCCGCTTTCCCCGTCCTCTGACTCGTCGTCCGCGTGTCCGGGGTCGGCGTTGGTGCGGTTAATCGGCGCAGCGCCGTCCAACTGCTCCGAGTCCCCTGGGTCATCCTCCTCATCCACACTGTCAATCTCGCTCTCTTCGGCTTCCGGCAGAGGAGATTCCTGACTCGGGTGCTCTGCTCCGTCGCTGTCATCGTCATCGTCATCGTCATCGTCATCCTGAATGTGTACGTCACGGCTCGAATACGGGCTGCGATTTGCCGGTCGAGTGACGGGGAGACGAATAGCGGCTGGAGAATGGAGGGGGGTGAGCGGAGAGGGGATAACGATCAAGTACCAGACACGGATGCAATGAGGGTAAGGGGAACGAAAAGTGTGGCGGAAAACAGCAGCAGGTGAAGGCAAGGCCAAGTAGGCTGGGAATTCGGTACAGGCGAGTGTCTTTATCCCTGCTCTGCTTGTCAAGCCCGGCCAACCACTCTGGTCTCCGGAAACGAGGGGCTCACCTGTTGGGATAGCGGTGATTATAGCGGTTACGATCGCAGTCAGAATGGTTAGGTGAACAAATACTGCGGGGGCCATGCGAAACCGTGAAGGTTGAGATCTCGGCGACCGTGGCCACGGGAGATGTTGGATTAACACCATTGATTATGCGCGGACATGCGAGTGACTCGATAAAGAATACGAACAGTCTTACTACAAGCAGACCGAACAACTATCAGCTGAAAAAAAAGGCTTCGGCTAATGATACGCCTCTACATTATGGCATTAGATTGTCGGGCTCTGCTCCTACTGGTAGCCAGGGTACGAATCCAGTGAATCATGTGTGTTGAAAAGTCAAAACGGACTTTCAACGAGTGATCGGAAATTCGAAGCAGTTCCTGCTCTCGAGTGATACCGGACTGAAACGAGCAGCATTTTGAACACCTCACTACATCGCCTGATGAAGCATTCCTGACTTCTAATAAGTCACCTGAATCACTACCTTTCATAAACACATACCGCGACTAACGAGAATCAGTCTTTCGCCACAACGCGAGACGCGTCAGGCGACTGACGTGCAGGGAACAAGCAACCAGGAAATGCTGGCAGCAGGAGAGAGTTGTGGTGAGCGAGAACGAGGGTTGCTCAGCGATGGCTGGCTCGCCTTGGGAATTTCGGTGGCTGTGTTGGCTGATGAGCAGCCTAACTTCTTCTGGGTAACTTATCCAGTTCACAGATGAATATCCTGGAAACGCTAAACGCTAAGCCCACCATGAGGAACATGGAGACGCGGAAGTGTAAAATATGGTCGGAGCTGCGTGGGTCGTGTTTTGTCCCGTCAAACTCCAAGGCTGGTCACCCTTCAGAACGGGCAGGAACTGGTATCATATGCCATTCAATCCTTTTCCCAAGGGATGGCTGGCGGAAAAAGTCCGTGAGCGCCCTTCCCCCACCAATCCTCGCAGGACGGGGGAGAGAGAAGCTACCCTTCCCCAATCTTGCCAAATTGTGTCGCATCGCATGCTCGGCATGCGCTGGCGTAGGAAAACGATCGCTTTTGTTCGTCGCATAGATGGAACAGCGGCCAACTTCATACATACTCAGATTAGTCCCGAGCGGAATCTCAGGTGTAATCAACCTGGAAATTCTCAACTTGATTGGTCGTCGCTGTCTAGTCACATTTTTTACGCTGGTCGAAATATTTAAAAAGTGACAAAAACAAAACTATATAGTTTACCCTCCCGACCTGGATTTGTTAAATTAAAGTACGTAAATTTACGACGGGGCAGAACAACTAAACCCCTATAGAATCTGGACGAATTTTCGGGAGGGATCAACCCTAAACACGGGAAAGGGCATTATTTTTAGGGTTGATGCCTCCCGAGTCGCATCCCATTCCGATTAAGTGTTATTTAAAGGGTCAAGAAAGTGCAATATATTTCTCCTGAAGTGGGCGGCTTCCCGTAGTTAGGGTTGATCTGTCTCGAAATTCATCTAGGTTCGCTACAAGGTTTTTTTTCAGGTGCTGCATTCTCTGTAGTGACTGTATTCAGAACACAACAAGAAGAACTTACTACTATATCACGAAACTGTGTTTCTGTTGGTGATTACACCTGAGAACCCGCTCGCGAATACTTTGAGTATCTATGATATTGGCCGATAGAACAGCGAGGCGCGTAGGCGCTTGCGACTGAAGACTTGACCAGTAGGACCGTGTGACCAATAGGATGCAAGGAACGAGGGGCTGAGCCTCACAACTGGCGAGCCAGGAAACACCGGAGAAGCAACCGAGTCCAAACTAGACCTCGCGCGACGCTCTCAGAATCAGCCTCGTTGCATGGAAAGAAAAAAGGGGAAAAAAATACAACCTTATACATACAATGATAAGCCACAAACTATCCAGCTCTGCTATATACGCGCTCCAAGTCCAAGACCCTTGGGTCGTAGTTCAGCTTGCACAGGCTCGGAAATGCCCTGCTTGTCCTTCCCAAGGCCAGAGCCAATGCGGAAACCCATTTGTGCCATCATGCGCGACCCAAACCCCCTCGTGTGCGCCTCAAAACTTGCAAAATCCGCTGCCACACCACAGCCACCCACACTGCTCCTGTCAACCCTACCTTCTTCCCTTCCTCCCCTTTCTCTCCTCCCTCTGCTACCGCTGCCACCTTGCCCTCGTCGGCCTCCTCTTGCCTCTCCGTTACCCTGCCTGCCACTCTTTGCCCCACCTTTGCTCTGAAGAGTCCTTCTCTCCTGACCAATGGCCACACCAGCGACCTGTCCCTGCAAGGCAACAGAGGCCCCTACACTGGCTGCAGCGGCAGCATCCGCTGCGTTTGTTGTGACACCCGCCACACTGCCTGTAGGGCTCGCACCAGAGGACGCACCCACACCCGTTTCTGCACCTTCCTCACTCATCAGAACCCCCAAAACCTCCTCTGCTTCTGAGCCTGACTGCTGCACGTTCTGTACAGTCACGCTCACCTCAGTCACCTCCTGGTCGCCCCCGTCTGTTACAAGCACATCGGTGGCCATGATACCCCGTGACACAAACACCACAGGGTTCGATGCATACCCCTGCCTCCCTGAACCACTTCCCGCTCTCCCCTCCCGCACACCCCGCCTCCCCTTCCCCCCCCCAGCTTGCACCAGCCCTCCGCCCTTCCTCCGCCACAGAGTCTCCTCCTCTCCGCTAAGCCCTCTCTCCCTTCCCCTCCCCCCCCCTTCCCCTCCTGCGCCTTCTCCCGCAGCGCCTTCTTCTGTGCTGCTTTGTCCCTCTGCAAGCGCTCCCCCAGTGCCTGCATCAGCCGCGCCTGGGCCTGCGCCCTCCGCTGCTTGCGTGACACACGACTCGCTTCACCCGGCACAAGCCACTCCTCCTCCTCCAACTCCAGAAACGCATCTTCCTCCTCACTGCTTCCCTCACCCTCCCCACCCTCCTCACTCTCAGCACTCCCATCAATCTCCCCATCCTCCTCGCTCCCATCACTCTCTTCACTCTCTTCGCTATCCTCCTCCCCACTCTCATCATCTTCATCCTCCTCCTCCTCCTCCTCCTCCTCCTCCTCCTCCTCCGACTCCTCCTCATCCTCGTTCTCATCACTGTCATCATCATCACCCATCATGAGCATCATCTCCTCCATCTCAGCGATTCCTCGCTCCACATCCATGTCATCCATGTACTGAGCCAGCCGCCGCTCTCTGTAGTCCCCACCCTTCCTCCTCACCCCCCGCTGCCCCGGCCTGCTGCTCGCATCACCACACTCTGCGGCAGCGGCTCTTGCAAGGTTGAAGCGCCCGAGAATCTGGAAGGCAGGGACGAAAGGGAGGCGCAGAGGTGGCAGTCGTGGTTCCAGAGAGAATTGGGAAAACACGCAAGGGATGCAGCGAACATAGGGTAGGAAAACAGCAGTGCCCAGCAAGGCCCAACAAACTGCCAACAAGAGGCCCTCAGAATGAGCAGCAGACCTCTTCCAATCGAGTCATGTCATCTCCCTGTGGCACTGCTGTGTGCCGCCCAGACCGAAAGAGCAGCATCCTGAAGGGCAAGACGGAAAAAGCCAAACATGTGCAAGGCATCATGGAGAGGGGCACAAAGAGAGAGAATAAAGGTCGTGAGAAGAGGTGCTGGGAGAGAGGTGGAGGGGAGGAAGCAGGCATGAGACACAAGCATGCAAGGCGAGGCGAAGGAGGCGATGAGCAAGCAGTGAAGAGGGAGTGAACGGAGAGAAAGGCAGTTGCACATACTTTCTCTTGCCACTCTGCTGCACCGTGGTGGTCAGGCGATATGAGCGCGCCATGCCTTGTACCTGCGGAATGTGAACGGAGGAGATGGTGGATGGACATTTGTGAGATGCCTGCATGCAAGCAACCAGCCATGTATGCATAAAATACTAGCATAACGCCATCCTTACAGTGCTGGCATGCACATGTGCACACACGCAAACATGAACATGTGACCCTTGCTGTCTGGTGGTGCAGGTGATGAGCAACGCACCATGGAGAACTGGTGCTGTGTCAATGGAGGCGACGCAAAGACGTCCACACGGCCCACCGCCACCTGCTGCATGCCCTGCTCACGAACACGGCAAGGGCAGGCCCAGGGCGCAAGTGGGAAGAGTTGGAAACTAGATGCCTAGAGACAGGGTACGACCCGACACACTGTGCGCAGCAGCGTCAGGTTGATTCTAGGCAGGCGCACTCCCCATGGCAGCTCACCTGGTTGAGGTGCATGAGGTCCACGTCAGCAGCATCGGGGCTGAATCCCACAGCTCGCTGCATGCGCTTCAGCTCCCTCGCCTGCTTCCTGCGCCCCTTCTTGCTGCCCGCCGCTGCCAGCGGCGAGCAGGGGGGGGGAAGGATGGAGAGGAAGGGAGGAATTGAAGGGGAGAAAGGGGAGGATACAGGTAAAAGAGAGGGCTTTCAAGGCACGCAGCCCAACTACTTGGCCAATCAGAGCGACCCATCTTCCATTGCTTCCCCCCTCCCCTAGTCTCAGAATTTATTTCCTCCCTCATCGCCTTCCCCCCCAGCAACACTCTGACCCATCCCCCACACACTGATGCACCCCCCACCTTTTGCCGCCTTCTTGGTTTGCTTCGCCAGGGCCCTCTTTGCCTTCCTTGCAGCCTTCTTTGACCCGCGCCCCATCCCTCCCCTGCCGCTACTGCCCTCCGCACCCCCTGCTCCTGCTCCTTCTCCTTCCCCAGCTCCCCCCTTTCCTGCTCCTGCTTGCCCTGCCCTCCCTCTCCCTGCCACTCCTCCTCTCCCCGCCCCCCCTCCTCTCCCTGCTCCCACTCCCCTCGCTGCCCGCCCTCTGCCGCGTGTCGGGGCTGCAGTGCCCCGTGCAACAGGAGCAGCAGAGGCGGGGCAAGGGGGAGCAGGAGCAGCAGAGGGGGCGCCCTTGCCCTTGCCCTTGGCTGTCTGGCGGCGAGCCAGCTCCCTCTGGTAGGCCGCCTCAAGCTCCCTCTCCCACTCCTCGCCCAACTCCTCCTCCATACCCTCCGAGCTCTCCCCTTCCTCCTCCTTCTCACTCTCTTCCCCCTCCCCCCCCTTCACTCTCTTCTTCCTCCTCCCCTTCGCCCTTCCGATCCCCCTTGTCTGCATCCTCCTCCGCGCCTGCACCTTCCGCCTCCTCCCCATGCACCCCAGCATCCAGGCCCCCTGCTTCACTGCCCTTCCTCATTTCGCCCTGCCCTGCCGCCCCGCCTGCCCTCGATCCTCCTCTGTCGCCCGCCTGGCCCCCCTGTTTCAAGCCCCTGACACGTTTGAGGTGGTTCCAGAACTCCTCGGGAGAGGGCGCGGAGGCACCAGCGCAGTACCCCAGCCCAGTGTGCCGCTCCTCCTCGTACCACACTCCGCCTTCTTCGCCCTCGCCGTCGCTCTCACTCTCGCCCTCGCCCACCACTGCATCTGCTTCTTCCCCGTTCCCCTCTTCCACCTCCTCATCCTCGCCCTCCTCGCCCTCCTCCTCCTCATTGAATACCTCCTCTGCCTCTTCCTCCCCCACTTCTTCCTTTGCCGCCTCCTCCTCGACCTCCACTTGTTCCTCCTCCACTTGTTCCTCCTCCACTTGTTTCTCCTCCACCTTTTCCTCCTCCACCTTTTCCTCCTCTGCCACCCTTCCCTCCATTACCACCACCTCCTCACCCTTATCCGCTTCCTCATCCGTATCGTCCGCCTCGCCCTCCCCCATGCTCGCATCATCACTATCATCCACAAGGTTACCCATAAAGTCCAGTGCCACGTCAGCATCGATGCTACTATCGCTGCCCTCCTCACTCTCTTCCCCACTGTCACCATCCTCCTCACTCTCTCCCTCTCCTCCCATCCCACCTCTCCTTCCCCCACCTCTTTCCCCACCCCTCCCCCTCCCCCTACCCCTCGCCCCACCCCCAACCCTTCCACGCCCCTGCCTCCCTCCATCCCCATACCCCTGCCCTTCATACCCCCCACGCCAACCCACACCTCTACCTGTCGATACAGTCACACCGCCAACAGTCACATACCCCACGTCCTCCACCCCCCCATCCAGCATTCCGCCCTGGCCCCGGCCCCACGCCCACTGCCCGCTCCCCACCTCCACTTGTTGCTCGTCTCCCCTGCCCCTCCTCCCTCCACCGCCCCTGCCTCTTCCTCTGCCCCCACGCCCCCTTCCCCTGCCTCGCTGCCAACCTCCCTCACCCCACTGCTGTCCTACACTCCCTTGACCCCCTTGACCCGCCTGACCCACTAGACCCCCTAGGCCTCCCTGGCCTGGTGAGCCCCCTTGGCCTCTTCTTCCTTGTTGCACTCCTCTGCTGTCTCGCCGCTCCTTCTCCTCGCCCTCCGCCCCTCCCTCCGCCCCCTCACCCACCCCGTCTGCCCCTATGGCCTCCACGCCCATGTGGAGCCTCTCAAACCGCACTGCCACGTCTGCAGGACACGTCACTTCCGCTGCTTCCACTGCTCCTACGGACAGCGGCAAGCGCTTTTGCCTGTCATCCAAAACAGGTAGGAGCCCCCCCCTCTCTTCCACCACAGGCAGCCCCTCGCACGCTCCTACAGCACCACCTGGTGCAGCACCTGACCCAGCATCTGCATGCTTAGACAGGCTCACGGGGCCAGCAGCAGCAGCAGCAGCAGCAGCAGCAGAACCCCTTGCATCCAAGCCCGGCTGAGCCGGTGCGTGGCTACTAGTGGAAGAGCCTCCCCTGTCGAAGAAAACAGGCAGCACCGTCACCGCCCTGCCCTTCTCTGCTTCCACTGCTGCCCCCAGCACAGCTGTCTCCCTCTCCGCGCCGCTGCTGCTTCCTCCTACCTGTGAGCCACTTGATACAGCCGTCGTCCCATCACCTCCTCCTTTGCCGCCCTGCACTTTCTCTTCCACCACCATCGCCTCGTCCCCCTCCGTCCCTTGTACCCCCCTCTCATTGGCATCCCCCCCGTCCGTTCCGTCGTCCCCAACCCCTGCGTGCTCCTTTTTCTCCTCCTGCTCCCCACCCTCGCCGTCCCCTCGCAGCACTCCGCCCGGCCTGAACGTCCTCGCTGCGCCCTCGCTCGTCCCGGCACCACTCGATACCTCTGCCCTGTGAGACCCGTACCCAAGGCCTCTGTGCCCGCCTGCTCCTGCATGCACACCAGCACCACCGCCACCAGTAGGACCTTTCCCGTCCCCCCGACCTTGAGCTCGCGAGGATCCGCACGCCAGCCTCAACCACACGCCACGCGCCTTCCTCCCACGCCACTCCGCACCGCCGCGTGCTCCCTGCGCTGCTCGTCCCTCTCCAACTCCTCCTTTCTCCTCCTCACCCCTCCCCCGTACGTCCCTCTGCTCCGAACCCCTCGCCTCGTCAAGGTCGCCTGTGTCATATCCGCCCCCGCGAACAGTTTCATACTCGTACACGAATTTCACCGCAGAGTAAATGCCCCGTCCGCTTGCCGCTGCACCGCCGCCGCTAGCGCCCGGCTGCCGAGGCTCATTCCTCCGCGGATTCTGGTTTTCATTTGACGGCTGCGCGCCGATGCCACGGCCACGACCACGGCCGGCCCTCATGGCGCGTCCGCGGCCTCGAAAGCCTCGCCCTGAGGCTCCGCCATCCCCAGTCTCGTTCGCACCGCCTCGCCCGTCCGATCTTCCTTGATCATTCGGTCTTCCTCCGACGTCGTTTGCAGTGCCGTGGGGAGCACCGCCACGACCTCTTCCCGCCGATCCACCATTCCGCCCGCCCCCGCCTCCCCGGCTTCCTCCGCCGCTGCCCCCCCCTCGCTTGCCTCCTCCTCTGTTCCTCCTACCCATGATCGTTGTGTTTGCGATTACTCTGCCAGGAATCTAGAGCACCGACTGCAAAGCTGCACAAAGATCGCACACACCCGCGACTCTACAAGCAGAAAAGCATCAAGAAACACAGGGTGTCGCACAGACGGAAAATCGACCTAACGAGCAGCAGCGCCAACTGCGCGCCTTGCTCAGGGTACTAGGGAGAGTTCGACTGCCCTGGAGCTGAGAATATGCTGTGGCCGAGGGGGGAGATAGGAACATGAATGTGCGGACATTCAGCAATGAAGTGCAGCAGCGAGGTGACGCGTTTCGGGCATGCATGTCACCATGGTGTGCAGGACACGCCACGAACACTACTCATGGGTTTGGGTTTCCATGAGTCACATTACATCATGACTCGATTTTAATTACACCTTTTGCAGGAAGATCCACAATCACGTTATGGGTGGATTTGGAACACACCTTTTAGAAGTAAATTCCACAAACACAATCGCTGGTTAAAGACTCTGTACAGGATAAAAAACTATCATGTGAAGGTGGTTTGTATCAATCACAGAATGGAAACCATGGCTACTGTGTTGCTTGAGCAATGATGGAGGACAAACTACCACCCTGCTCCTTTGCTGTCTCCACCAACGTGTCCTGGAGTGAGAAACAGACCGGAGCGTCAGTGAGAAGGCTGTTGCAACAAGTGAAGATAATACAGGTACCGTAACTGGGTGGAGCTTACCTGAGCCGCTATCACTCTTGCAACGGACTTCTTGCTTGACTCTTGTAGCTCTCCTGCTATGAGGATTTCATCTAGTATATAGTATGCCTGGAAGGAGCACAAACACATCGGACGGAAGGTTGGGTTGGAAAACAACAAGATAATGCCTCCTGACCTAAACTGCAAAACAACTGAGTCGCAGTGCCACTAGTGCAATATAGGCGCACCTTGTGAAAGTTGAAGATGAGATCGAGCTCGCAGACCTGCAGAATGACAGCAGCAGGTGGAGAGCCGCCATAAGAGGCTAGTAAATTGGTAAACGGCAGCACTAGAAAGCAGAGGCATGGGAGCAAATGCGGGAGAAGACGTCGCTTACGTTGGTGAAGTAGCGGTCGAGCACCTCGACGTAGTGGTGGATGATCTCGAGGGTCTCAAGCTCGTTGTCGTTGATGTCCACGCACATGCAGAAGTACAGGCTCGCGTACCTGCAATGCACACCCACACCACACCAGCGTCACGAGCGTCAGCTGGCTGAAGCACTTGGACCTTTTGGCAGACTTCAGCAGACAAGCAAAATTTCGCTTGCAAGGGAACCTATGGCGGACTTCATCAGGCTAGCGTAAGCTTCCCTTGCAGTTATAAGCGAGCTCACGAAGTCGAAGAGTCTTACCGCTTGTAAACGACCTTGTAACCCCTCCAATCCACGAAATTACATAGCTTAGCAGGTCTGCTGAGTATCGTTCCCGACAGCTCCCGCGTGATCTGGCATGTGGACATCGACTTGATACATTAGCTTCACAAATAACTTCTAGGGACGCACGAATTCACTCGGAAACCACCCACGAGAGCAAGTAGGCAGACGGTTCGCGACGGGATGCGCATACCTTCGTCCGTTCCTTTTGAGAGTACGCGGAATACCATTTTGCCAGCCTGACCTTCCCTTGCCGGCTAATGAGGAGCACGAAGTGAATCTGCCAGGACGACATTTACGAGAAGTAAGCAACCCTACAGATATCAGAAATCTACCACCTCGACTTTTCCGCAGCAAAAACTCACCATACTGTATCCACGTCCCTAATCGACGGCTCGGAATAGTCGTTCTCAAAAGCCTAAGCAGGTGAGGTAAAAAAGGCGGATCAACTAACGGGATTGAATGACTGCTGAGAGGCACGCAGATTGACTGGTGGTACCAACAGCAATGTGCTGATGAAACCTAGGGAGAGTGGGAGGAATGAAATTGGCTAACGGCTAGCGATGAGTTTTGATATTGATGATCAGCCATTTTGTATAGAGAACACTTTCAATCTCGGTATAAATATTTATGCATCTGCTGCCTCTATCGGCGTATATCTATATAGCATTTTTCCACGGCGAACCCGCCGACATTTTTTGGGAGGCACGGCACGGCATTGGTTCAGAGGCTGCTGGTGATTCACGTCACGGCCTGACAGCAACGTGCGAAGCGCCTGCGAAGATGGCGGTCTGTGAGGACAAGTGGCATGGTCCAGAGAAAACTAGCCGGCTGAGAAAGTGGATGCGAATTGGGGAATATATTGCACTGCGTGTATTATGAGCCCACGCACAAGCCAGGCCACAGCTAAAAAAATTGCTCCACTCTCATGGTCATAACGATTACCGTGTCGCCGTCGAAAGATCTGTACGTTTAGTGGGCACCGTGTCCTGTGACACTGTACCTCTCGCAGTAGCGTCTGTATTTACACGTAATAAGGCGCACAACTCGATGCAGTTAGAGGCTTGGAATACGATGCGACGACCGAGGTCAGCCAGATGATTCTACGGCGATTAATCCTGGCGCTGCAAGCCCTAGCAATGCGAACAGCCAAGTCACCAGACTTTTCTTTCATCTCGCTGCTTCGCAGCAAGCGCCTGTCGTTCTATGTCGCCCTCTCCAGCATTAGCGGCTTCCTCATCCTTTCCTTCCTCGTCTCTTCACCCACATACGGTCGCTTACGCTTCCAATATGATTCATTCATCTCGCTTTCGGCGGTTAGTAGCAGCAACCCAGCAGCCATGGCGGCTGGGACGATGTCGATCGGAGAGCTCACAGAAGACGGATACTTCCCGCCATGTCCGTCCAACTGGACTCACCACATCCCGTGCTACGATCCAAACATCGCCGTCCACTTTCCCTTCGCAGACAACGTTTTCCGCGAGCGACACTGCCCGCCTCCTTCAGCCCGCCCGCGCTGCCTGATTCCCCCTCCCCCCGGCTACCAGCGCGCGCCCCCCTGGCCGGATAGCCTATGGAGCGTGTGGCGGAACAACGTACCGCACTCTAAGATGCTCAAGGACCCGCGGAACGTCCTGTGGATGGAGCTACGTGGCAACACATGGCATTTCCCGCACGCTTTGACAGCTATGCCCGAAGCGGACGGCGCGGAGCGGTACGTGGCGCAGCTGCGCAACTTCATTCCGTTCGGGTCGCGCCTGCGCACGGCTCTCGACATCGGCGCGGGGGTGGGGGGATTCGCGGTGGAGCTGCTGCGCCAGGGCATGATCACTGTGTCGCTCGGCCCGCGCGACGGGTTCCGCGGGCAGGCGCAGTTTGCGCTCGAGCGCGGGCTGCCCGCGCTGGTGGGCATCCTGGCGACGATGCGCCTGCCGTTCCCGTCGCTCGCGTTCGACCTCGTGCACTGCTCGCACTGCCAGGTCCCCTTCGGCCTCCCCAGTACGTGCGCCGCCACCCCCGCGCTCTCTCGTGGCCTCTCGCGCATCCCGCGCACCCCATCCAGTGCCCTCGTGCTCTCGCACGCGAGAAGTTTGTTGCTCATTTGAATAGCAGGGTCCCTGAATTCCCTTCCCCTCACCCGCCTTCCCCTCCCCACATTCCCCCCCCTCCTCCCCCCATTCAACCCCCCCCCCCCCTCTCTCTCCAGACGGCACGCACCTGTTCGAGGTGGACCGCGTGCTGCGCGCGGGGGGCTTCTTCGTGCTGGCGGGGCCGCCCGTGCGCTGGCCGGGCAGGGCGGCTGAGTGGCGCACGCTGCGCGATAAGGCGCGCGCGCTGTGCTGGCGGCTGGTGCTGGTGGTGCCGCACGTAGCCATCTGGCGGAAGAGCAGGGGGGTTGAGGTGGCGGGCGGAAGCGGGGGAAGCGGGGGGGAAAGAAGATGGTGTCCTGGAGCCAAGGAATATAGAGAGGCGGAACAAGAGGGGGGCGGAACGGGGGAGAGGGAGAAGGAGGGAGGCAGTGAAAGGGAGGAGGTAGAGGATTCGCAGGAGGGAGGGGCAGAGAGAAAGGAGGGAGGGGCGGAGAGAGAGGAGGAAGAGGCAGAGAGGGAGGAAGGAGGTGGGGAGAGGGAGGAAGGAGGGGCGGAGAGGGAGGAGTTAGGGAGTGATGTAACAGGCGAGGAGGAGGGAGAGGAGAAGCGGGAGGAGGAGGGAGAGGAGAAGCGGGAGGAGGAGGGAGAGGAGAAGCGAGAGGAGGAGGCGGGCGGAGGGGAGGGCGAGATGGGCGCGGAGGTGTGTGCGGCGGACGACCAGCCCGACGCCGTGTGGTGCGTGCCCCTGCTGCCACCGCCTGCCACTGCCTGCCATGCCGCCGCCCTACCCCCCACCCGCCCCACTGCGATCATGCACGCTGCACCTCCACCCTCGCCCCGCGCCCACCGTACTAGCCCCCCTTCCTCAACGACTCCTATCTGCTTTCTCCTTTTCCTCGGCCCTCCTTCCAACCCACCCCCTTCAGGTACTCCCCCTTGCAGCCTTGCGCCATCCGCCCTCCCCCCTCCGCGTGGAGCCTCCCCCCCTGGCCGCATCGCCTGTGGTTCGCCTCCCCCCGCATCTACGACTCCCCCCTCATGCACCCGCCCACAGATCCGCCGCCCAACGCGGTGGAGGGGGGTGCTGGGGGAAAGGGGGAAGAGAAGGACAAGGGGAAGGTGAGAAGGAGAGGGAAAGGCACGGGGAGGAAAGGCAGGGGGAAAGGAGGGAAGCGCAGGAGTGGAAAAGGAGGGAATGAGATGAAGAGTGAGGGGTCCGCAGATGGGGAGAGGGAGATGCAAGAGGGCGAGGAAAACGGGGCGAAAGAGGGGGAGAAAAGTGGGTTGAAGGAGGGGGGGGATAAGGCTGTGGAGCAGGTAAGGGAGAGCAGCAGCACTGAGGCCCCTGTTGCTGCTGCTGCTGCTGCTGCCGCTGCGGCTGCTGGTGGTGTTGGTGGGCGGCGACTGCTCAGCTCTGATGTGCATGGCGCTGGTGGTGCTGCTCATGGCGGGGAAGGAGGGGGAGGGGGAGGAGAGGGAGGAGGGGAAGGGGGAGGAGGAGAGGGAGGAGGGGAAGGGGGAGGAGGAGGAGAGGGAGGAGGGGAAGGGGGAGGAGGAGGAGAGGGAGGGGGAAGTGAGGCAGACAGGACTGAGAGAGCAGCGGCAGGGCAGGAGGGGGAGGAGGGCGACATGCGCAAGGCGCTGAAGGCGGAACAGCAGAAGTCACTCATGAACGCAGCAACATCGCAGTACAGCAAGCGGCAGGGCACGGCGCTCGCAGCACTGTCGCCGCGGCAGAAGCGCATGAACATGGAGAGCCGGCGCTGGGGCACCCGCCTGGCGCACTACGAGTCGCTGTTCCTGGGCGACCTGCTGGGCTACCAGGGCCGGCGGAAGCACCGCGAGGGCGCTGAGGGGGACGGTGGGGAGGCCAAGGGGGAGAAGAGCGAGGAGAAGGGGAGGAGCAAGGAGGAGAGCAGGCCGGGGAAGGTGCGGAACGTGCTGGACATGAATGCGGGGGTGGGGTCGTTTGCGGCGGCGCTGCAGGGGAGGGAGGAGGACGGGGAGGAGCGAGTGTGGGTGATGAACGTGGTGGCGCTGAGCAGTAGACTCAACACCCTGGCAGCCGTGTTTGACCGCGGGCTCGTGGGCACCCTGCATGACTGGTGTGAGGCGTTCTCGTCGTACCCACGCGCATACGACCTCGTGCATTGGCAAGGCGTCTCCTCCTCCTTCCACCCGTGAGTCCCGCTGCCCTTCCTGCTGCCGTTGGAGGGGAGGCATTGTTCGCTGGGAAGAGATGGAGCACGAAGCACATAGCGTGTCACATCTTTCATTTCATGGGAAAGGTTTCTACTTTGTCATTCTCCCCAACCCCCTCCGTGCCACTCCACAGGGACCGATGTGATATAGATGACGTGATTATAGAGGTGGACCGGCTTTTGAGACCAGGAGGCACAGTGATTATAAGAGACCTGCCGGCCGTGCTGGAGGGCGTGCAGAGGGCTGCGAGGGCAGCACACTGGAACGTGACGGCCCACCCACCAGAGAAGGGCAGCAGCAGAGAGCACCTGGTGGTGGCTCGTAAACCGCTGTGGAAGGTGGATGCACGGGGGGTGATTGAGATTGTAGACGCTGATTTGTAATGAAATCAGGTATCCAAGGAAGCAAATTGCATTACCAAGCAAATGCTTCGCTCCTGCAATTGGACCCCGGCAACTCGTTAGCAGCCAAGCGAACTATACAATCGAAGGGGCTGAGTTAACAAGTTGGGCTGTGCAGCGTTGCCATGCCCGGGCATAACCATACTTACAAAATTGGCATAGGAGTAGCACAGCCATCCTTTTATGGAAAACAAGCTAACTTTATCATCTATGAAGACCTAAACCACGGCAAAAAACTCCGTTGCCGGGATTTGAACCCGGGTCGCCTGGGTGAAAGCCAGGTATCCTAACCAGGCTGGACGACAACGGATGTCTTACTAAAATCTTGTATTTAATTAATTTTGTGATGTTACTGAAAACTTTTCATGCATTTGCTGATCTGTATGATCGGACTTGCAGATGATACCAGGTGCTGAAGCCGTGCCTTCGGTGCGGGCTGGCAGGGATGCAGGAAGCATCCATGGGTGCGGATGGGCGCTCTCCATGCTTCCGCCGCTCCTTGAATCGGCGCGCTATGAATCAGCGCAGCGGAGCCCGGCGAGTTCCACTCGCGCAGGATCATGCCTCCCTCGCAGATTCGCGTGCCGACGGAGGGTTCTCAGCAACCAGTCGAAGATAGCGCTGCGCGCGTCGTGTGACCGCCTGGCAGGCGGAAGAGTTGGTTGGGGTACAGACTATGCTCGCACCGCCGCGGCAGTACCTCGCTGCCGCTCCGGTAATCGCGGCGCCGTGGCTCCCCGCGCGGGATTGGGGGATGGTGTGGGGAGTGGTGCGGCGGAGACCAGCAGGGGAGGCGGGTCGTATTTGGACGGCGCGATACTGTTCTGGCGCGACGCACGGTGAGAGGGAGAGGAGAGAGTAGGTGTGACTGTAGAGGGATAGTGAGTGAGAGGGAGAGAGAGGTTGAAGTTGGAGAAATTGTGAGGGGGGGAGAGAGTGAGGGAAACTGGAAATAATCTTCATGCCCGTTCCCCTTCCCACCCTCAATCCCCCTTGAGGCCCGCGTGCCCGTCCCCCCCGCTGCAGGTCCGCCTACTCCGCGGATGCGCTGGGCGTGGAGATGGCGGCGATCGCGCTGCCGGCGCTGCTGGCGCTCGCCGCCGAGCCCGTCGCGTCGCTCGTTGATACGTTCTACATCGGGCAGATGGGTGAGGGCAGATGGGTGAGGGCAGATGGGTGAGAGCAGATGGGTGAGGGCAGATGGGTGAGAGCAGATGGGTGAGGGCAGATGGGTGAGAGCAGATGGGTGAGAGCAGATGGGTGAGAGCAGATGGGTGAGAGCAGATGGGTGAGAGCAGATGGGTGAGAGCAGATGGGTGAGAGCAGATGGGTGAGAGCAGATGGGTGAGAGCAGATGGGTGAGGGCAGTTCTTTCGATGAAACGGGTTGTTAGTCAGCGATGGGGCAGAAAGATAGCTAATCAAAGAATAAGGGATCGGACATGCTTTCCACAAATAATTTCCTCTTTTGTCATTCTAGACGGTATGGCATGACATGGCATGGTAGATGCTGACCCATCCTTTCTGGGTCCCGTGACTCTACCGCTCTCCTCCTCCTCTGCCCCCGTGTGCGGCGCGTGGCAGGCGCGGAGGAGCTGGGGGGGGTGGGGGTGGCGGTGGCGGTGGTGGGCGTGGTGTCCAAGGTGCTCAACGTGCCGCTGCTCAACATCACCACGTCCTTCGTCGCCATGGACCAACACCTCCTCAATCACCCACCGCACCAACACCTCCTCAATCACCCACCGCACCAACGCCACGTGCAACATCACCCGCAGCTACAGAGCTCGCCCTCACTATCATCCGCCTCCTCTACCTCTGCCGCCTCCCCCCCGCCCGCGTCCAAGCCCGTGGTGCCGTCGGTGTCAGCGGCGCTGCTCATGGCCGTGGTGCTCGGCGCATTAGAGGCGCTGCTGCTGGCGGTGGCGGCGGCGCCGCTGCTGGGGGTGATGGGTGTGGGGCCCTTATCCCCCATGCATGCGCCCGCGCTGCAGTACCTGCAGGTGAGGGCGGCGGGGTCGCCCGCGGTGGTGCTGTTCCTCACGGCGCAGGGCGTCTTCCGCGGTCTCAAGGACACCCGCACGCCCCTCGCTGCCTCCGGTGAGCCCCAAGCTTCACCTGGAATTGCGCTTGAGATCAGAAGAGGGCTTTAGGTGAGATTAGCGTATTAGGAGAATGCAGAAGAGGATACTACGTGCACAGCCTGTGCGTTTGGAGAACAAACCACAATCCCTGGTTTCGCTCTTTCCACCTGCCCTTCCCCCGCTTGCAGTGAGCGGCAACGTGGTGAACATCCTGCTGGACCCGCTGCTCATCTTCTCCTGCGGGCTGGGCGTGTCCGGCGCTGCAGCGGCCACGGTGGCAGCACAGTACGGCATGGCGGGGTGGCTGCTGCTGCGACTGAGTGCCACAGTGCACCTCATCCCGCCCTCGCTCTCCCTCCTCTCCTTCCACCGCTTCTTCACGTCCGGTGAGCCCTGCCACTCACAACAGCGTTCGCATCAGCATCAGCGCATCAGCATCAGCGCATCAGCATCAGCGCATCAGCATCAGCGCATCAGCATCAGCGCATCAGCATCAGCGCATCAGCATCAGCGCATCAGCATCAGCGCATCAGCATCAGCGCATCAGCATCAGCGCATCAGCATCAGCAGCATCAGCATCAGCATCAGCATCAGCATCAGCATCAGCATCAGCGCATCAGCATCAGCGCATCAGCATCAGCGCATCAGCATCAGCGCATCAGCATCAGCGCATCAGCATCAGCGCATCAGCATCAGCGCATCAGCATCAGCGCATCAGCATCAGCGCATCAGCATCAGCGCATCAGCATCAGCGCATCAGCATCAGCGCATCAGCATCAGCATCAGCATCAGCGCATCAGCATCAGCGCATCAGCGCATCAGCATCAGCGCATCAGCATCAGCGCATCAGCATCAGCGCATCAGCATCAGCGCATCAGCATCAGCATCAGCGCATCAGCATCAGCGCATCAGCATCAGCGCATCAGCATCAGCGCATCAGCATCAGCGCATCAGCATCAGCGCATCAGCATCAGCATCAGCATCAGCGCATCAGCATCAGCGCATCAGCATCAGCGCATCAGCATCAGCATCAGCATCAGTGCATCAGCATCAGCGCATCAGCATCAGCATCAGCATCAGCGCATCATCATCAGCGCATCAGCATCAGCGCATCAGCATCAGCATCAGCATCAGTGCATCAGCATCAGCGCATCAGCATCAGCACATCAGCATCAGCGCATCAGCATCAGCGCATCAGCATCAGCGCATCAGCATCAGCGCATCAGCATCAGCGCATCAGCATCAGCGCATCAGCATCAGCATCAGCGCAGCGCATCTGCATCAGCGCATCTGCGTCAGCATCAGCATCAGCATCAGCATCAGCATCTGCATCAGGATGTGCATGTGCATGTGCATGTGCATGTGCTCGTGCATCTGCTCCCCCATCTCCCTTTTCCCCCGTCTGCCAGGCGTCTTCCCTCTCAACCCTGCACCGCGCCCTCTCCCCGTGCATCCTCCCTGCAGGCGGGCTGCTACTGGGGCGAACGGTGGCGCTGTTGGGGGCGATGGCGGTGGGGACGAGCATGGCGGCGAGGCAGGGGGCGGTGCCCATGGCGGCACACCAGCTCGCTCTGCAGCTCTGCCTCGCCGCCTCCCTGCTCTCTGACTCCGTTGCCCTCGCTGCTCAGGTGCGCCCAGGTGGATCCTCAGGTGGTTTTCCAGGTGGTTTTTCAGGGTATCTTGTAATTTGAGGACTGATTTCGTGCACACATTTGTTCTCACATAATAGTTTATTTTTTCCTATGTGCGTTCCCTCATGTGCATGCATGTGCTTATGTGCTCATGTGTGATGTTATGTGTGATGTTATGTTTGATGGCATGTGTGATGGCATGTGTGATGGCATGTGTGATGGCATGTGTGATGGCATGTGTGATGGCATGTGTGATGGCATGTGTGATGGCATGTGTGGCGCCATGTGTATCAGACCCTATTGGCATCAGCCTTTGCACGCAACGACACGGTCATGGTGCGAGCCATCATGCTGCGATCGCTGCAGGTAAGAGGCTAGGGGGAAAGGCACCACATGCTGCACGCACCACATGCTGCACGCACCACACCACATGCTGCACGCACCACATGCTGCACGCACCACACCACATGCTGCACGCACCACATGCTGCACGCACCACATGCTGCACGCACCAATACCAATGCGAATGCCAGCACCTTCTTTCTTGCTTGTGACACCATCGCCTCTTCACTCACACTATCGCTGTCATTCATAGCCCCGCCCTTCTACCACCTCATTCATTGCTCGCACCCACCATCACCCTCCCTCCGGCACTTCATCCACCGCTCTCACGCGTGCAACCCCATCCCCTCCTCCCTTGTGTACCCGGCAGATAGGGCTGGGCATGGGGGCGGTGATGGGGGTGGTGCTCTCGCTGTCAGCGCAGCTGCTGCCAGCGCTCTTCACCTCGGATGACCGTGTGCTGCTGCAGGCGGTCGCCCTCATGCCGGTGAGACATAGCCTTCTTGCCTCTGAGAATTTCCATTCTTTTCCCTCCGCAAACTGGTTCCCTCCGCAAACTGGTTCCCTCCGCAAACTGGTTCCCTCCGCAAACTGGTTCCCTCCGCAAACTGGTTCCCTCCGCAAACTGGATCCCTTCACCACCAAGCAGCCATCCATCGCTCCCGACTCACTGCTTCCCATGAGCTTTCCTCTCTGTGTCCCCTCTCCCTGACTGCAGTTCGCAGCGGCGATGCAGCCCCTGGCGAGCATGGCGTTTGTGTTTGACGGGCTGCACTACGGCGCCACCGACTTCGCCTTCGCTGCCCTCGCCATGGTGCGCTACTGTCTTGCCATCATCACCAGCCTTGTGCTCCCGGACCCATGCTCTCTGCTCAATGCACATTCAACCTTGTTGAATCCCTCTCTAATGACCCGTTGGTTTACTTGTTGCAGATGGCGCTGGCGCCAGCAGCAGCAGCAGTGCTGGTGTATGCACCGAGCGAGTGGGGCGTGGAGGGTGTGTGGATCGGCCTCTCTCTCCTCATGGCTGCCCGCATGTTTGCCGGCTTCCTCAGGTCAGCCACCGCTTGCTTGCCCTGCTCCTCCAGTGCTCTGCTCCTTGCCCAGCCCTGCCTTCCACCAACACCCCCCATGCCTTACACCCCCCATGCCTTACACCCCCCATGCCTTACACCCCACATGCCTTACACCCCCCATGCATTATGCCCTCCATGCCGTGCTCGTACCGCCATGCAGAGTGGGCACGGGCGGAGGGGCGTGGGCAGTGCTGCAGCAGGCACCACCACATGTACACATGAGTCACGTGGATGCAGATGATCATCTACATGCAATCACAGGTGATTCAAGTGATGGTGACAGTAATGATGTGCATCAGTACACTCTACAACAGGCACAGCGGAGGTAATTCTGGTAGAAGGAAAATCTGTCGCTGTTGGGAATGTAAATAGCACGAAACCTGATAAGACCCCTTCAAGATATATTGAGGATTAACTTACAATTTGAAAATATGCTTGCCTTGGGATTGGGCGAGCTGGCTCCTTAGCGAAGAGGCATTTTCCCACAACAGTCCTTGGGAACAGTTTTCTGGAAGATTCGCATGTTGCACGCACAGCACTCAGATAGTCTCCCCTTGCCACCTATACTGACACATACAACTTTCCATACAGCGCTTCGGCACGCGGACGATCCATTACAGCACTTGTATAAGATCTAACATATTATTCTTGCAGGAAGATAGGGAATAAACTGGCGGAGTGAGCTCGGATTGTTCGGGTCGGAGGTATCTGGGATGGCGGAGGCGGGAAGTGCCACCGCGCGATCGCCGGCGGAAGAGGCGGGAGTGGAGTCCGACATGGCGCGACTCGCGGTGGCGGATGCGACAGACGGGAAGCCCGCAGGCGGCGGTGCTGACGTGGACGAGTTGGATGACGTGGAGCAAACAGAGGTGGTTCTGTTCCACCTCAAGGAGTGCTACGTGTACAAGGTGCGCACCGTCACCCATCCTCCTTCCCGCTTCCGCGCATTTCTGATTCGTGCAGTGGCTATGCGCTCAGGCGAGTCGCGAGCATGCGGCACCGCATGGCGTAATGTCAGTACGTCCCACGGGCTGTGCGACGCGCGAAGCGAGGAATCTTGAAATAGTCTGCGCAGCGTGCGGACACGTTCGTAGCCATTTCTGCCCCCTCCGCGCCACAGCGGCCTTGGAGTCACGTCAACAATGCCGCGCGTTCCACGCTGTCAGCTTCCTTGACTCTTCTTGTCACCCTCATCCTCTTTCCCCCTGTCCCGTCAAGTCACCTTCATTCTCCTTTCCCCTGTCCCGTCTCCCCTCCCTGCCCTCCCGTCCCCTTCCCTCGCGCTCCCCGCGGGTGCTGATCCCCCATTGCCACGAGGCGGCACCAGATTCCCCCACGCAAGACAGCAGCGTCGTACAGGTGCGCGCACCCTCCCTCACTCCCCTCCCTCCCCTCACTCCCACTCCCCGCACCCTCCTCGTTCCCCTCACTCCCAGTCTTCTTACCTCTTCACCATCCTTACTCCCAGTCTTCTTACCTCTTCACCATCCTTACTCCCAGTCTTCTTACCTCTTCACCATCCTTACTCCCAGTCTTCTTACCTCTTCACCATCCTTACTCCCAGTCTTCTTACCTCTTCACCATCCTTACTCCCAGTCTTCTTACCTCTTCACCATCCTTACTCCCAGTCTTCTTACCTCTTCACCATCCTTACTCCCAGTCTTCTTACCTCTTCACCATCCTTACTCCCAGCCCCGTCTCTTCCCTCGCACGTCCCCAACCCTTTATTGCCTAATCATCTGACAAGCAAGTCGCCCCTTCGCACCCTTGCGAGCATTCGCCCTACCACATCCCCCCACCAACGCTTCCCACCTTCTCTCCATCCTTCCTCATCCCTTACCCCCTCACCCCCATTCATCTCCCCACCTCCACCACCCCGTGCAGGGCGGACGAGTGGGACATAAACAGGTGGGCGTGGGAGGGCGCCATCAGCGTGGTGTCACGAGGCGACCACTGCAGCATCCGCCTGCTGGACGCCGCCTCAGGGGACCTCTTCGCGCACGCGCCCGTGCGGCCCAACCACCCGCTGCCCCTGGAGGCCGTCATCGACAGCAGCCGCTTCTTCGTGCTGCGCATCGAAGACTCCTCCCCGCCCCCTCCCTCTACTGCCTCTGCAGCCTCTGCCTCCTCTGCTTCCTCTAGCAAGGCTGGGAAGCCCGCTGCGGCGGCGGCACCGGTGGTGAGGCATGCGTTCATAGGGTTGGGGTTCCGGGAGCGCACGGCGGCGTATGACTTCCAGGCGGCGGTGTACGACCATGTCAAGTACGTGCACAAGCAGCAGGAGGCGCGCCGCATGGGACAGGCGTTTGAGTCGCGGCCTGCTGCGGACTACCGCCTCAAGGAGGGGCAGAAGCTGCACCTCGACATCAAAACGGTGCGCGAGAGATGGGGAGAAGGGTGGGGACAGGGGGAGAAGGGATGGAGGATTGGGCGTGACGGTTGAGGGTGAGGGTGGACGTACAGTGGGGGATGTGTGGTGCAAGGAGGAGGGGTAGTGCAGGGGATTGGAGGGCGGTTGATGGCAGGTCATTGAAAGGAGAAAATGGGGAGGGCAGCTTGATAGTCCCTCCCGTGCTGCTCACTCTGCTTACACGCACTGCTGTGTGTGCATCCCCTCCCCTTTCCCCTTCCCTCCACCCCCATGGCAGCCGGCACGGGCGAAGCCAAGCACAGCAGGGCTGCCGCTGTCGCCCACCACGCCGGGCAACGTGGCCTTCAAGTCGCCCTCCCTCACAGGCCCTGCCCCTGACGCCTCTGCTCCCATGCGCCAAGCCTCAGGGGACCATGCCGCTGCTGACTCCTCCCCACCGCATGCAACCGCAGCTGCTACCACCGCAGGCGCCTCCCCCCCCATCCTCCCTCCCCCTCCCCCGGCGCGCCTCTCCTCGCCTCCTTCCGCGTCGCCCTCCTCCCCTCCCTCCACGTCCTTCTCTGTGCGCTCCTTCCCCCCAGCAGCCCCCTCGCCCTCCATCGCATGGGCGTTCCAATCCGACGACCCGCCTGCCTCTGTCACCTCCGCGCCCCAGTCCGTCATGCCTGCAACCTCTGGAGGCAGTGAGGGCGCTGGCAGTGCAGCAGCAGCGGGGGAGGACACAGATGACTTTGGGGAGTTCGTTGCTGCGTGAGGTGCGGGTGGGGGGCGAGTAACGCGACTCGTGAGTTGAGAGGAGGTGGAATGGATGATGGGCGAGCCATGAAACTCTGGGACTGGCAGCCCGTGCATGCATGCATGCCTGTGTTGCTGTGCTGCCATGAGGTGGATGGCTTGCAAGCACCACAGGAGAACCTCAGCATAGCCTGGCTGACACCAAGTACCGTACTGCCTGCTAGGCTGGTTCACATCCAGGAAGATTCTCCCACCAAGCTTGTACGGGTATTGTAATCCATAATCTGTATGTGACAATTATCGTACAGTGAATCTTAACTGACCCGCTACAAAGATATACAGAGCGCAGCATCTGCATCTCTACTAAATATATACTAACACCAGTGGCCACGATTGCAGCATGCAGCAGCCACAAGCAATCCATGTCTTCGCCCCTACAACTCCGCACCTGCTCGCTACCTCGCACCGTTCTTCTTCCCCCACCCCATCCCCTTCCCCTTGCCGCTCTTCCCCCCCAGCGCCTCACGGTGCAGGAAAGCAGCACTCATGCGCGCAATGCGCCCGCCCACGCCCTCCTGCGTTGCCTTCCCATCCCCTTCCCCATCGTCATCCGCGCCCCCGTAGCGCACGCGCTTGGTCTCGGCCTGGAAGTCACCAAGCATGTCGCGCACCACCTGGGCTGTGATGCCGCGCACGTAGTAGTCCAGGGGGGGCGGGGGCGACAGCGCCAGCTGCACCACCTGCTGCAGATGCACGCGCGACGCCATGCGCGCGCCATGTCCAGGTTTCCTCTCACTTGCACCCTCCCCATTTGTGCCCTCTCCACCTGCGCTCCCCTCACTAGCGCCTGCCTCCCCAGCGGGTCTGCTGTCAAACGCCTCCCGCGCATCCTCAAACTCGCCGCCCTCCGCCCCCCCCCCAGCTTCCCCTTCCGCTGCTCCTGCCTTCCCTGTCCCCTCCGCTGCGCTTTTGCCCTTCTCTGCTGTTTCCGTTCCGCCCTTCCCCTCCGCCTCCCCCACCGTGCGCATGTCCGCGGATCCCGGTACAGGCAGCGGCTCCACGCGCCAGAAGCCCTCGAAGCGCCGCATGAACCCCGGCTGCGCGATCTTGAACGACATCTGCGCGGGGGATGGGGGGAAGGCGAAGGGCGGGAGGCGAAGGAGGGAGAAAAGGGGTGGGAGGGCGCGTGAGACGGCAGCAGACGCGTGAGAGCCCCGGGCAACGTGAAAGACAATGGAATTCCTCTCCGCTTTCCATCTACTCTCCCCGTCGCCCGCCCACGTCTCCTCGCGCATGCAACGCACCGTGCGTTCCGCGCGGTCCTGAGTGACGAGGAGGCGCGTGTCGAAGGAGCCGGAGAAGACGAGGAAGCGCCACGCCGCGGACTGCTCCACCTCCACGAGCTGCCGGTCGCCGTCGTCCTCCAACACCTTGCGATGCTTCACGGCCTTGATGTTCTTGAACACGCGCCGGTTGTACGGGTCGCACAGCGTGTTGTACACCGCGTCGGGCGGCAGCGCCAGGGTTACCTGGCAGTCCAGCTGGCAGAAGGTGCCTTTGGGCGTCGACACCGTCAGCTGCGCCGCCTCGTCGCGCCACTCGGGGTCGTCCCGCCACGCGCGCATCTGCCGCTCCAGCTCCGCGCGCCACAAGATGCGCCCCTCGCGGTACCCGTCCATCTGCACCACCGCCTCCTCCTCCTTCTGCTGCGCCTCCGCCTGTCGCTGCGCCTCCGCGGCGTGGTGCGCCTGCTCCCACTCCCGCTGCCGCGCCAGGCTCTCTTCGTCCATCACCAGCGCCGCCGGCTCCTCGCTCGTCGCGTCTTCGAACTTCTCTTCCACGTCACCGTCGCCTGCCACAGCGTCCGTGCCTTCACCGCCATCGGCGGCGGGAGTTTCGCTAGGTTCGGCGAGAATATTGCTAGGTTCGGCGGGAGTTGCTGTTGGTGCGGCGAGAAATTCGCTAGGTTCGGGGAGAGTTTCGCATGGTTCTGCGGGAGTTTCGCTAGGTTCGGCGGGAGTTTTTGTTGGTGCGGCAAGAGTTTCGCTAGGTTCAGCGGGAGTTTCTATTGGTGCGGCGAGAGTTTCGCTAGGTTCGGAGAGAGATTCGGTTGGCGCGGCGGGAGTTTCGGTTGGTGCGGCGGGTGCGGGCAATCCCGCAACTGGTTCTTCCTTCACGTCACCACCCTCCCCCGTCCCCCCTGCCTCCATGGCCGCTCACCGAAAATGTCTCCCGGATCGCAAATTCTGTGGCTTGCGTGGGAGATGATGCGCGCGTTACGTATCCTGCCCTGCGTGCTGTTAGTTCTGAACGCAAGACACAGCAAGTGCAGATTTGCGAAGTCAAAGACGCGCGTGGATCGCCTTCCTTGAGTGGTGCTTGCTGCCTCAACCACGTGGGACTCACGATGAACCGAAAGCTGTTCTGACTCCCTGGCCCACAACAACTCGAGAGACTGGTGCTAGGGGACGTGAGCTGCTCGCCTTCTGTCGTACCTAGATGGCTATTTTACGCGATCATAGCGATAGAAGACAAGGGAACCACTGGAAACACAATCTTGCTGCAATTTCAACTCAACATGCAACGCTGGGGAGGGGCATTCCCGCACGGCAGGGGCTGGCGCGCGGATTCAGCTAGAATGGGCACGTTCTTGCGTGACATGCTGCTGACCTGTGGGGTCTTGCTGGCGTGGCGCCACGCGGCCTGACAGGAAGGGGCTGGACTGCCAATCGCAGAGCTTGTTCTTGGAAAGTCAGCAAGTCTCAATTTCGAGCTGGTGTCTAATTGTACAGTTCCTCAAACACAGCAAAGTCCACAACTTCATACAATGAAATCACAAATAACAGTATAGAATTATGTACAGAAGTCCAAGCAGCCCTTGAGGGCAGCGTTTCTTTGTCCACTTGGCAATGCCTATTTGGCACAAAGCCAAAGTGTGAAGTATTTCGGGGAACTCAACACTTGATTCCCCTCCTCACAGGCACCCAGTTGCACTCTTTGCGAGGCAGTGGGCTCTTGAGCACCTCCTTGTGCAGGAAGGCAGCACTTCTGATCGCACGGAAGCCATTGTCCCTCTTCAAGTGCAGCTCGTGGGGCTCCACGCCCCGCCCTCCTCCCACCTCCACTGCTCTCTCAACTACCTCCTGCTGCTTCTCCTGCTCCCCCACTCGCACCTTCTCTTCTACTTCCTCATCCTCACCAGAGCTCTCGCCCTCCTCGTGCGAATCCAGTCTCACAAGAGGCGGAGGGGGTGGAAAGGACTCCTCTGTCTGCAGCTTCTCAGCGGGCGCGGCCATGTCAGGCACGGGTGCGGGGTCGGGGAAGGCAGTGTGGCCGTCCGCGATGGGGAAGGGCGCCTCCCTCAGCCGCCGCGCCTCCGCCATGAAGCTCGTGAGCATGTCTCTCGCCTCGTGCGCCGTTTTGTTGCGCGCCAGCATGTCGAACGGCGGCGGCGGCGGCATGGCGAGCAGAATCACCTGCTGCAGGCGCACGCGCGAGGCCATGCGCATCTGGCAATCCGCGCAGCACTCCTCTGAGTCTGCCTCTTCCGGCAACACGTCACTGGCGTCGAAGAACACGTCACCCTCCCTGTCCATCTCCCCACCTATCCATCCGAACCGCCCATCTCCCTTCGTGTCTCTGCCCTTACCACGCGCAGCTTCGCGCTCCCGGGCGGCCATGGCCTGCGCGTGTCGCGAGCACGGCACGGGCAGCGGGTCCACCTGCCACGAGCCCTCGAAGCGTCGCATAAAGCCCGGCCGCGCGATCGCGAACGACATCTGCGGAACGACGAGAGGGAATACACGATTTTAGCATGCGCTGGGCATGGAATCGAACACTGTACGCGCACAGGGATCAGGAGGATGCACCACTCTCACAAACTAGCTGGAGCTCTCCGCGTGAGCTCACGGATTTGCAGAGAAACGTACCGTGTGTTTCAGTCGATCCTGTCGCACGAAGAGTCGCACGTCGCAGGAGCCAGAGAAGATGAGGAATTTTCCGACGGCGGACTGCTCCACCTCCACGACCTGGCGGTCGCCGTCGTCCTCCAACACGCGGCGGTACGTGACGGCGCGGATGTTCTTGAACACGCGCCGGTTGCACGGGTCGCACAGGATGTTGTACACCGCGTCGGGCGGCAGCGCCATCGTCACCTCCGAGTCGATCTGGCAGAATGCGCCCTTGGGAGCTGACACCTGTGCGCGCGCGGGGGAGAAGGGGGAGGAGACAGTGAGTGAGTGGCGCACGAGCTGACGGGAGAGACGGGGACGATGCGCACATGAGGGGGAGCACCAGAGAAGATTGAGAAGGAGCCTCGCGGGATGAAAGACGTGCGAGCGAGGGGCCACGAGGCGCTGGGAGCGTGGCGGACCTTAACGGTGGGCGTCTCGTCGTGCCAGTGCGGGTCGTCGCGCCACGCCTGCATCTGCGACTTGAGCGTGCGTTGCCACTGCACCGTACCCGTCTTGTACGGCCCCATCTCCACCACCGCCTCCTGCGGCCCTCCTTTCCTTCCATACTCGCACGCTGCTGCCCCCATGAATGCAGATCCGAAAAGAGGCTACGGTAGAGATTAAGATGGTGGTTTGTCTCTTGTTGTATGTTGCTGCACCTCGGAGTCAAGCAGAGCGTTGAATAGGGTACTACCGGAATCCGTGAACTGAGCGGAATAATGTCCTATGACGCGTTATGTAGCGGCTTTTGTGAATATCAAGTAGCGAGTCCAGGATAACTAGGAACATTTGTCAGTGGACGCTTTACAGTTGACATGGATAAAGAAGCTTGAGGTTCAGAGTCAGATTCGCATTCTCTTCGGCGTCCCGTCGGCATCCCACATCCCATTTTCCCCAGTGCAAGTCGCGCCGCCGTAACTCCCCAACCCCAACCTCCCTCCTCCATCGCCTCTCACACTCGCTGTCGACTTGCGTTGACCGCACCGTGCCTCACCCAACCCAACCACAGTGGGAGCTCCATCATCACCGCCCCAACATGTGTCACCAGCTGTTCCATAGTGTGCGC